ATTGTGCCGCCTATGGTGTGGTGCTGTAACTCCCCTAATCTCCCAGAGTGGAAGAGAAGAGAGGGCTGTTTATTTCTCCTTGGGCCCCCAGGCATGCTGTCCATGGTGACTGTCTCTGCTAATGAAGCTTTCTATGACCTGAAGCCCTGCTCTCTTTGAAGGGCTTAGCATGGCTGCCTATGGCTGTGATGCTAAGTAATCCTAATGAAACTCACCAGAAGGACAGTTTATCTGGCTTACTGTCCACAAACCTGCAACATCTTTTCAGTTCTGACAATGGATGTCCTAGTTCATCACCCTCTGCCTTATTTCCTGAAAACAAGGTTTCTCACTGAACTGGATGGAGCTCACCATTGTTCTGGCCATGCTAACTGGCTGGCAAGCCCCAATATTCCGTTCTCCCTGCAGCTCAGGAGTTATGGCCACCCCGAACTCAGCTCTGACCCATCGATGAATCTTTTTAGCTCTCACATCTCTTTTTACAGCCAGTCTATAAAAATTTCTCTTTTGTTTTGAACAGGGGTTCCTACATATATTTATTTCATAAGTAGGTTGTACATTCATTATAGTTTGCTGCATTGCCTGGGCCTTGTCACTTAGCACACACAAAGCAATAAAAACTAGTTTATGAATAGCAAATATTCCCCTCGAGAAAAACGCAAGCCAAGCATTCCTTCGAATATTTGCAGGTTGAGTTGCCCTAATTACCAAAGGCGAATGAGACTGAAGTGGCAAAGGGTAGTTCCCGCCCCCTCTGAAATTCTTGCTCCTTCGAGTTTGTTTCCCATTATTATCTTTTCTTTCCAGAAAATTGCAACCTTCTGAATTAGCTGGAGGGAATCCTGTGTGGGACTGGATGTAAGTGTTATTTCATAATAGTAGTCCCCTCTTCTCTCACCGTGAGGTGGTTCCTTCCACAGAGCCGTGGGGTTGTCCCACACATGTACAGCTCTGTAAGGGGGCTCCACACAGTGATACCGGTAATAGCATAAGTGAGAAAGTTCCAGACCGCTAGGCATATAAAGCCAGAGTAGTTGATCATTTTTGGCCAGTGATCGAGAGTAAGCTAAAGCCTCAAAAAGACTCTTGGTGCTTAAGTTCAGAGGTACAGTATTTTTTAATGATTTTTTTTTTAAGTTTTTATGTTCATTAGTGTTTTGCTTGCGGTATGTCTGTGTAAGATCCCCTGGAAGTGGAGTTACAGACAAGTGTGAGCTTCCTGTCAGCTTTTTTATTAAGCAACGAGAGTAATACATATTCATAGTGTAGAAAGGGATTGTTCCACAGCAGGGAAACCCAAAACAAACAAACCAGAACCTCATTAGTGAGGATGATGGGACCTTTCACTAGCCAACTTCATGACCCAGTGACTAAGATCCTGGACACTTACTGTCCCCAGAGAGCAACCTGGCTGGGGTGGAGCTCTAAGCTTGTTGTCTAGTGCCAATGGAGATTAACGGTGTGGACTCAAGCGGGAGTATGCAAAGTAGGAGCAGAACTGGGATAATGGTGAGCAAATTTCTCTATTTGTCACTTGCGCTATTGGCTGGTGTTGTCCAACCTTGCAGGCGTCTTGGTGGCTGCTAATGAGACTATATTCTCCTTGATCCCGCATTTACACAACCAGTTGGTAGCTTTTCCCATGGCATAGGGTTAGGATACAATTTCCATCAGTTCTGCGCTCCATCCACCATGTTTAAACTTCAGGAACAGTTTGGGATCAGGAAGATATGACACGAAGATATGTAAAACTAAAACGCTGCCCACTTGACTACACTTTATTATCCTTAAGAACCAAATGTGAGCCAACCGTGGTGGCACACGCTTTTAATCCCAGCACTCGGGAGGCAGAGGCAGGCGGATCTCCGTGAGTTCGAGGCCAGCCTGGTCTACAGAGGGAGTTCCAGGACAGCCAGGGCTGTTAGAGAAATCCCGTCTCCAAAACCAAAACCCAAACAAACAGATGCAAACGTTGTACAGAGAAAAGCAGGGTAATCCAATCCGCCATTCATATAAGCTACACCAGGAAATAGCTTCCCCTTCTCAGACTCAAGAGCAACGAGAAGCAAGATCCCTAACGACCTGAGCACCAATGACGGGCAGGGTGGCGGGTGCGGGCTGCAGGGACCGCGTCAGTGTCCCTCAACTTCCCACGTCCCTTCCCGTCCGCTTGGGAGTGCAGGCAGTGACCGCCTCGTGGAGACGGCGGGCGGCCACCGGGCACGAGAAGGAGCCACGGCGACCGGTGCGGCCAGGAGCGCGCGCGGGCGCCGCCAGCCGGGGTCCCTTCGCCCCCGCGCGGCGGCGCGGCCGGCGTGACGTGCCCTGGGCGGGGCCGCCGCCCCTCCCGCGGCGTGACGTCATCACGGCGCGCGGCCGCCGAGCCTGGCGCCCGGAGGGAGGGAGCGCGGCGGAGACGGCTCCGCAGCGGCTGGTCCGGCGGCGGCGGCGGCGGCTGCGCTCCGGCTGCTCGGCCGCCTGACAGCCCCGCGCGCAGCCCCGCAGCCCAGGTGAGTGAGTGAGTGAGTGGGTGCGGCCGTGACACCCGGCCCTCCGCCCCTGCCCCCAGCCCCCGGGGTGCGGCCTTCCTCCCCAGCCCCGGCTCGGGCGGGGGCGCGGTGGGCGCCGCGGGGTTAGCGCTGCCCCGGGGCTGCACCCGCCCGCCAGCCCGCCCGCCCCGGGAGAAGGCTTCACCGGATAGGAGAGAATTCAGCCGAGACACGGCTAGGGCGAAGTTAATTTATCAAGGCAAAGCCACACGCGGCCCCACGCTTTCTCGGAAGGTAGGTGGGAGCTTTTAAAGAGAACTGGTGCGTGGAGGTACGATGACACTGGACCCCGTGTTCCCGTGCAGGGCACCACCACCCCCAGTGTGAGCTTGAGGGGAAAAAAAAAAAAAAAAGTCAAGGTGCTGGTGTCGAAACCGCAACACATGAAGCCAGACTCTTTTTGCAATCCCTTCTTGAATAGCGTGCGCGGAGGCGATTTGTTCAGTACTCTGATGCCTTAGGTTTCGGATACAGCGGGGATTATCCCAAATATAGCTTTACCGATGCTTCGCCAGAGAGGTGCATCTGACCATGGGAAGGCTTAGGGCAGTTTGGTCGGTTTCCTTGGTTTCGGCAAGAGTTATGTCCCCACCTAATTAGGAGACACAGCTACCAAGATACAGATGCAGTTTTCCATGATTACCGAATATCCAACTCCTTGCCTACCCAGTTCTCTCTAATTCTTGATGAAGATAAGCTTGGCGTTAGCAGGGGAAGACATTATTTTTCCCCCCTTCATTTTAGTCTTGTAGAATTTGATGCCCCTCCCCCCATTCAGAATGGAGCCCCTTTATTCAGATATTAGCAGAAGTTCTAGAATAGGGTGTTTCTCAAAAGGTGAAGGTTGTGCTCAGGAGCGTTGTGCTGGGAGGAGGGTTGCTAGCCGAGGATACTGCCAGCTTTTACACTAACCTTAAGTTCCAGTCCCAGGCTGAGCCCTGTAGTAAGAAGACACCAGGCAAATTTCATAATCTTCAACAAAATCCCTAGAGTTTCTTGCAGCTCACAGTTGAAACCATGTTGACTTTTAAAAAGTAAAACAATTTAGAGAACCATCCGCTTTCTTGTAAAAATGGGTGCTGTGGAGGTGTTGGAGACTTGAGATTGCTCTTGATGTTAACTAGACAAAAGATGAGCACTTAGAACCTCGGTTTTACTTTTCAGAAATTATGATTGTGAACTTTGGAAGAAGAGTTTCTTTCTCTTTGTGGTTCATTTCAGAAAGTTTTGCAATCCAAAATAAAAGATTAACCACCTCCATCACATTCCCCAGAAAGGGTTTTGGGGAGGGAAATAGCACAACTAAAGTCCGTCCATTCAGGCAAGGTCATTCTTTGGTACCATAGGGAATCGGTCCCAGGAAGCCACAGGTACCAAGATCTGAGTGTGCTGGTCTTTTGATTTGGTGTTTTGAGGTGGAGCCCAGGCTGGCCTGGAACTCATGATGTAGACTACTACGGTAGCCTCTAGCTTGCAGCAGTCTTCCTCTGTGTCCCAAGTGCTCGGGTTGTGGGGCTTTACCACCACACTTGGCTCTGAAGTCTCGTAGAATGATATGCATAGTATTTGCATATACTTTAGGCATGTTGTCCTTTGTACATTAAGGCAGTTCTGGATTACTCATACTAAAACAATAAAATTGTTTCATGCTGCCTGATTTTTGTGTCAGAGTGACACAAACCATGGTCATCCGAGAGGAGAGAACCTTAAGAAAGTGCCCACAGATGGCCAGGGTGCAGTAGAGTTGGTAGGACGTTTTCTTAACTAGTGATTGGTGCTTAGCTCACTGTCTGGTGGTCTGGTGTCCCTGTGGCAGGCAGATCTCTGTGAGCTTGAGGCCAGCCTGGTCTGCAGAGCAATGCCAGGACAGCCCGTAAGCCACCCTTCCGGGGCCCCTGCATCAGCTCCTGCTTCCGGGAGTATCAGTTCCCACCCTGTGGACTGCGACTCAGGATATGTAAGCCAAATAAACCCTTCCCTTCCCAAGTTGCTTTTTTGGTGTTTTTGTTTGTTTTTCGAGACGGGGTTTCTCTGTGTAGCCTTGGCTATCCTGGAACTCACTGTATAAACAGGGTTAGCTTCAATCTCAAGACATCTGCCTGCCTCTGACCCCCAAGTGCAGGGATTTAAAGCGCTCCCCCGACTCCCAAGTTGCTTTTCCATCTTGGTGTTTGATCACAACAGTAGTATCCTGACTAAGATAATGTTATTTAGGGAAAGCAATAAAAGTCTGTACATGTTCAAATCAATACTTAACTTTTTGAATCTTTTGATCCTAGTGGAATTCGGAGGCAGAAGAGATAATTTTCTTAAGTTGTTAGCTAGATTGTGGAAGTGGTGCCAGGGTCAGGCGTGCTCTGGTCGTGTGGAAGTTTGTGTTTAAGGAAGCCCTTTTTCAGTTCCTTAATTTGTGAAGCTGATTGTGTAGTCAGGTTCCCACTTCTTCAAATATGATCTCCCTGTGTTCTTTCTCCATAGAGCTTGATGGGCGGCATTATGGCCCCCAAAGACATAATGACAAATACTCATGCCAAGTCCATCCTCAACTCAATGAACTCCCTCAGGAAGAGCAACACCCTGTGTGATGTGACCCTGAGAGTGGAGCAGAAAGACTTCCCTGCCCACCGGATTGTGCTGGCTGCCTGCAGTGACTACTTCTGTGCCATGTTCACCAGCGAGGTAAGCGTGGTCGGTGCCCGTCGTCAGTGAAGTCCACTCATGCAGCCTTGCAGTTCTTATTCAGGGAGCAGAATTGCATGTGTTGGTGATGTGACTTATCGCTCTGGCTACCTAGGTGTGTGTCCCTTCCTTCCTTCACTGTTGTGTGTCTTCTGAGGGGGCTGCTCAGTCACAAACGATGTAGCCCAAGAAAAGGCCATTCTGTGGTCAAGAGCGTAGCAGCCCTGCCCTGTTAGAACTTCCCAACAAGCTTCCAGTAAAATACAAATTTGAAACCAGATATAGTGGCTCACACTTACAGTCCCGACATTGAGGAAGCAGAAGTCAGTCTGGGCTACAGAATGATACCCATCTCAGAAACACTCAGCAGGGGCTGGAGAGATGGCTCAGGGGTTGAGAGCACTGGCTGCTCTTCCAGAGGACCCAGGTTTGATTCCCAGCACTCACATGGCAGCTCATAACCCCTGTTCCAGGGAATCAGACACCCTAGCGTACACATACATGCAGGCAAAACACCAATGCACATAAAAAGAAAAACAAATAAAATAAAAGATTTGTGTATTTAAAAAACATACACTCAGCAATGTAAAAAAATGTAGCTTGGTAAACCAGTGAATTTGTATGTGTTTGCTAAATAGGTAAGCTCTGAGTAAGACATATATATGATGGCTTCCTCTTTTAAATTACCAGTAGATGTAGAAAATGAGTGTTGCTTCCATCACTGTAGATTTCAGGGTGATTTCAAGTGAGGAGAAGAAGGGAATTTAGTGAGTGGCTATGCAGTATTAACTCAGACTGAAGTGGTAGCGCATGCCTCTACTTGAGAGGTGGGACCGGGAGGGTCCTCGTGGTAACACTGTGTCTCATAAAAGCAAACACAAGGGCAAGTTCAAAACCGTCTTGTCTATATACAGAATTTTAGGCCATTAATTAGTTAAAAACCAAAACAGCAGCAACAAAAGAGGACCAACAAGATGGTTCAGCAAGTATAGACCCTTCCCCGCAGACCTGATGGACCTGCTTGCAATCCCTGAGAGCCGCAAGATGGAAGGAGAGAACCATCAACTATGGCGTCCCTCTGTCCCTCTGCCTGCCTGTCTGTGTACATTTGAGATGGCTAGGCCTGTAAAGGAGCCTGATGTGACACCTGAGTTTGATCCTGGAACCCACGTACAGGTCGATGAAAAGAACCCACTGGCCCCCACACATGAGGCCACATGAGTTGCGGAAGGATATAGAGCTAATTGGTTTTCTAGTTTAAACCATTGCATGGGTTTTTCTTTTTGTGTGGTGGATAAGTGAATACAATTGTAATTGATAGCGAAAGTATAAAACCCTAAGGGAAGTTCCACAGCTTCAGATTGGCCATCTTAATTATATTGGGAGTTCATTGAGATATATAGAATTTGGGGCTGGGCAAGTGTTTGAGTGGCTGATCTAGTTGTATGATACTTTTGTTTGTGAGTTCGCTGCAATAAATTTTTTTTTTTAAAGTTTCTAAAAAAGTAAAAATAAAAGTATTTGAAGAAATCTTTACAAATATTTTAAGTTTAAGGATTATATATAATTATTATGTATTTAAACTTAGACATGTACCCTTTTTTTTTTTTTGGTTTTTTGAGACAGGGTTTCTCTGTAGCTTTGGAGCCTGTCCTGGAACTCACTCTGTAGACCAGGGTGGCCTTGAACTCACAGAGATCTGCTTGCCTCTGCCTCCCTAGTGCTGGGTTTAAAGGTGTGTGCCACCACTGCCTGGCTTAGACTTGTGTCTTAATTATTTCATTGTGGTGACTTTTTAGTTCTTTGTTTTTAAGATTTATAAAAATGTATGTGTGTATGCCTGCATGAATCTTATGTGCATCATGTTCAAGCGAGCATCCTTAGAGCCCACAGGACATCAGATCCCCTAGAGCTAGAGTTACAGTGTTTGTGAGCCACCCAGTGTGGCTACTGCAAGAGTAGTGAGCGCTTTTAACCATCTCCAGCCCTCTGGCGTGGTGTGTGTGCATCTGTTTTTGAGACAGAATCTTACTATACAGCTCAAATTTCCTGAAATGCTCCATCTTTCTGCCGCAGCCTTCTCAAGCACAGAGATTATAGGCATGTGCCACCCATGCTTGGCCATGATAAGACTCTGTAAAAGGTATCTCTAACCACCAGGATTTTCTTTAGTTAGTACCCATCACCACAATGAACAGGATAGAAGTATCATAATAATAACTATGTTTATAGCCTGTTACAGTGCCATGTTTGTCGTTTACCCTAGCATTTCATTTTACCAATGAGAAGGGTCTCAATAAATGCCTTGCCCGAGGTCACAGAGCTGGAGAATGTTACACACAGGTGGGCTTTGCCTCTACAGCTTGTGACTATAAAGCTTACTTCTTAACTCCTTTGCTCAGTCGTAAGGCTGGTAGGAGAAGGCCAGCTCATTCTGTCTGATCCAGGCTAATCTAAAAACTGTCTTGAATAATGCAGCGGCACAGATCCCCACGATGCCTGTCCCCAGAGCATTGGCTGTCAGCTGGGTAAGGAGTGTTAACCAGAGTGCTGAGCATGCAAAGGACTAACCCTGCCAGCTGCTGATTGTACACTAATGTCCCTTTCCCTGTCATCTTGGAGGAAGTATGTCTGCACTGTTTATTCAGCTTTGAGAGATGTGTAGAGGCTTGGAAAATAACTCACTTCTCATACATGATGCCTCTTTGTTTTTTCTTTTGCTTTCTTTTTATTTTTTTATTTTTTGAATAGGGCTGTTCTGTGTCAGTTCTAGAACTCCTGTAGAACAGGATGACCTTGAACTCAGATCCACCCACCTCTACCTGGGATTAAAGACAACATGTACCACTAATGAATTTTTGTCTTTATGTATGGTTGGTTTTTTAAAGAATGTTTTTTGTTACTGTCTGGGCTGATGGAAAAATCTAAGATGATGAGGCCATTTAGTTAATAATGGAAGTACATAGAGTGCTGTAATAGGAGTGTGTGTGAGCATGTGTGGGTCTGAGTGTGCCATTGTCAGAAGCCTTCCTTAGTCACTCTCCATCACCTTAGTTTAGTGTTCCAGTTTCATTTTTATTTTATTTTTGAGACAGGGTCTTTTAGTAAAGACAATGCCTGCCAAATCTTTTTTTTTTTTTTTTTTTTTTTTTTTTTTAAGATTTATGTATACATTGTTATGCTTGCACGTATGTCTGCAGGCCAGAACCTCTTCTGATCTCATTACTGATGGTTGTGAGCCACCATGTGGTTGCTGGGAATTGAACTCGGGACCTTTTGAAGAGCAGGCAGTGCTCTAACCCTCTGAGCCATCTCTCCAGCCCCTGTACCTTACTTTAGAGACAGGGTCTCTAACTGATCACTGAATCATGGGACCTGCCTGTCTCCCCCATAAGGCCCAGGATCCCAGGTGCTTTGCTTTTGATCTTGTTTTTATATAGGGTGTCATAACACAGCCTAGAGCGGCTCTGGCTGAGGCAGTTAACAGAAGTGCCTCTTAAAAAGATCTGCATATTCTTTTTCCATTCAGATGTACTCTGAGGGCAGGTGAGAGGAATGTGGTAATCTTGGAGGAGGTTGTTAACTATAAACCTCAGAGTCCTATTATCATGAAATTCACTATTTCTGTTTTAGCCACACATAGTGGCGAATGCCTGTAATCTCAGCCCTCAGAAGTCTTGGGCAAGAGGGGGCTAAAAGTTGAGGGACAGCTTGGGCTACATACTGAAAACCAGGCCAGCCACAACTCAGAGCATATGGTTGGTGGGCAGGAGAGGACAGAAAAGAGAGAATGTTTTGTTAGGGGTATGTTTTCCTGCTGACCTGGGTCCACAGCCACGCCAGCCCCAAATAACACACAGAGACACTGTATTAGATATAATTCTGTTGGACAGTTACTAGCATATCTTATTGGCTAGCTCAGTCTTAAATATTAACCCATTTTTATTAATCTAAGTGTTTCTATGTGGTCTTATCTTACCAGAGAGAGGGGCCTGCATTCTGCTCTCTCTGTCCTACATCTTGACTCCTCCCTTCTACTTCCCAAATCCTCCTTGTCTCCTAGTCCCGCCTATTTTGCTTTCCTATTGGCCAACAGTGCTTTATTCATTAACCAATATGAGAAACATATTTACAGAATATCATCTCCCATCAATGTTTTATCATAAAGGCACATAGACACAAGTGGTAAGTTTATGAAACTTTTGTATTCTGTTCCCTAAAACATCTATTTGGTTATAATGTGGAATCAGGTTGTTAATTATTCTTTAGAAAATCTGACGCCCTATTGTTCACTACTAGGGATAAAACCACCTGCAGATTTACAGATGCACACCATACTTGCTATATACAAATCAAATAAACATTTTTATAAGGTTACTTTATGTTTATGAGTGTTTTGCATGCATGTATGACTATACCTTAGTTGTGTACCTGTTGTCTATGGAGTTCAGAAAGTGACATCAGTCCCCTGGAACTGGTGTTGTGGATGGTGCTGGGAATTGAACCCAGATCCTCTTTACCACTGAGCTATTTCTCCAGCCCCAGACTATTGTTTTATGCTATTGTTGTTTTTGTTTTGTTTTGTTTTTCAAGACAGTTTCTCTGTGTAGCCCTGGCTGTCCTGGAACTCACTCTGTAGACCAGGCTGGCCTCAAACTCACAAAGATCTACCTGCCCCTGCCTCCTGAGAGCTGGGATTAAAGGCGTGAGCCACCAACACCTGGCTGCAGACTATTGTTTTTAAAAGATGTATATTTAATTAGTACCAGCATCCCTTTGAGCTCTTAGGCTTAGATTCTGTCTTTACATTGTGGAATTAAAAGTACTGTTCTTTTCTGCCTTGTGAATTTTCAGCTGTCAGAGAAGGGGAAGCCGTATGTTGACATTCAAGGTTTAACTGCTTCTACCATGGAAATCCTGTTGGACTTTGTGTACACAGAAACAGTACATGTGACAGTGGAGAATGTTCAAGAACTGCTCCCGGCAGCCTGCCTACTTCAGCTGAAAGGTACAGTTGACAAAAGGTATCCTTGTTCTTAACACATCAGCCCTGGAAGCGATTTTCATTGATGTAAAATTATCGAGACTTTCAGAGGCCTGTCTAGAAGCAAACTTTTGAGTCTCTGAGCATGGAACTGAGATGTATTTAAGAGCAATGGAAAAGATTCTCTCCAAATACGAGTATGTGGCTCTTGGAAAAGAAAGTGTTTAAATTTTTCCTGTTTTTGAGAATATGGAAGAGCCAGGTGTGGTGGCTAACACTCGTTATCCCAGCACTTAGGAAGCTGAGACAGGAAGATTGTGTGAGTTTCAAGCCAACTTAGTCTACAAAATGAGGCTGTGTCTCAAAACCAAACCAAAGGGCTGAAGAGATGCCTCAGTGGTTAAAGGCATGGACTGTGCTTCAGGAGGACCTGTGTTTGAGTCCCAGCACCCACTCGGTGCCTCACAACTATTTGTAACTCCATTTCCAGGGAATCTGATGCCCTCTTCTGGGTACCAGGCATGAAAATGGCACGCAGCAGATACACATACAAAGTACCCACACAGATAAGATGATTAAGTCAAACAAACAAAATAGAAGAATGGACCTTAATACTTACATGCAAACATGCATACATACTCACGTAGTACTCATGTTAAGAATTGCCAGGAAACTGGTGGTGTTCATTGCCTGCAGAGATACTGTCTACTCTTTTACCTTGTCATTAGGTGTCTAAGGGCGTGGAGACGCTAAGGGAACTCTTCATATAAACCATTTTATATCTTTAAGTCTTTGAATCATGTAAAATATCTTTTAAAATTTTATTTTTATTATTTTCTATGCATGTAAGTGTTATGCTGGAAAATAGGACCTTTGGTGGCCACAGAGGTCAAAATAGGGTGTCAGACCCCCTGGAATTGGCATTGCAGGCAGCTGTGAGCTTTCTGGATGCTGGGAACTGAACATAGATTATCTTCAAGAGTGACAAGTGCTCCTAATGGCTGAGTCATCTTTCCAGTTCCCTTGTTTGCTTTTTGTTTTGGTTTTTTGAGACAGGGTCTCATTACATCGCTGTGGCTGTCCAGGAACTCACTGCCCAGGCTGGCCGCAAACTATAGCATAGCCACCTGCCTCTGTCTCTCTGTGCTATAATTAAAGGCATGCACCACCACGCCTGGCTTAAAATAACTTATTAGAAATAAAAATTTACCTAGCACTTTGTGAAGGTGCTATATAGGTAGGACCATGTCTCAATAAATAAATAAATAAATAAATAAATAAATAAATAAACAAACAAACAAATAAATAAATAAATAAAACCTGAAATTGATGTGTAACAGTTAAAATACAGTTTCACTGCATTAGAGATGGTCTCCCAGTTTCTATTCTGGTGCGTGCGTGCGTGCTGGTTTATACTGTATAGAAAAGACTGACCCTGAGCTGTATCCCAGTTGCTCTAACCCTGTATTGGTGCCTCAGCCTCCTGATTACTAGGATTGCAGCTGTGCGCCAGGACAGCCAGTTGAAGCATTCTTGCTGCTGTTGTTTGTTTTGTTTTAGACAGTCTCACTGTGTAGTCCAAGCTGGCCTTGACTTTATGGTCCTTTGTAGCCTTGTGAATGCAGGGGTTACAGGAACAAACCATCACACCCAGTCTACATTCTCCACTTGTAATGCAGGGTTGAAGTAAAGCGAAACACACTAAGCACGCAGTTATAAATTAAGGGTCAAGTTTGTGTAAGATACTGTGGCACACACTTTTACCCTCAGCATCAGGAGAGAGATGCAGTCTAAATTTAAACCCACTCTGGTCTGCATCATGAGCTCCAGGCCAGCTAGGGTTACAGAGTAAGACCCTGCCTCAAAAAACAAAAGAGAATTGAGTTCACACGCTGTACTTTTTCTTTTTTCCAGTGCCAGGGATTGAACCAGGGCCTTGTGCATGCTGAGATGCTGCCCTAGCAGAGCCACTTCTCTTAAGCTGCATTCCAAGCTTCTGTTCTGAGTTTCCCAGTTACAGAATTATGGCAATGTGCCTTCACTGGAGGGGTTGTTTGTTTATTGAGACAGGGTTTCTCTGTGTTGCTTTGTAGACTAGGCTGGCTTCAAACTCACTAAAGATCTGCCTGCCTCTGCCTCCCAAGAGCTGGGATTAAAGTTTGTGCCACCATACCCAGCTTCATGGAATTTTAAAATAAGTTTGATATAGGGACTAGAGACATGGCTCAGTAGTTAAGAACACTTGTCTCCCAGAGAACCTGGGTCTGATTGCCAGCACTTACATGGCCAATCACAAGTGCCAGTTCTAAGGGATCTGACAGGTATGGCTTTGGGCTCTGCGTGCCATGATGCATTCATGCAGACCTAATACTTATACATATAAAATAACAAAAATCTTTATATAGAGAGTAGAAGACATTGTAAATTAGTTACACTGTTTTCAGAATGGTTTCGGTAGCTAAGAGTTTACAGCTTCTGATGGTTCGAATGCCCTTGAAGCTAGGTCAGCCTTGCTACACTCATTTTAAAGATGAAGCAGAAGCATATATAAAGGGCTTTTAAAAGTGACATAGTACACAAGACAGAGATAATATTTGAATGCCTTGACCACACATTTTCTAATTTGTGTGTTGAGGTGTGGAGCCAGTGTTGTGATAATGCTTTCGCTGCCTGTGTTTGCCGTAGGTGTGAAACAAGCCTGCTGTGAGTTCTTAGAAAGTCAGCTGGACCCTTCCAACTGCCTGGGCATCCGGGATTTTGCTGAGACTCACAATTGCATTGACCTGGTGCAAGCCGCTGAGGTCTTCAGCCAGAAGCACTTCCCTGAGGTGGTGCAGCACGAAGAGTTCATCCTCCTGAGCCAAGGAGAGGTGGAGAAGCTCATCAAGTGCGATGAGATTCAGGTAGCGACCGCTGTGGCATGCTGAAGCTGGGCCGCTATAAAACTGCAGGGCGGGTGGAGTGGCTGTGCCTGTGTTACGGCTTCATAGTCAAATGCCCAGATGGGTGCTAAAGGCTCAGATGTTTGTGCACATTTCTGGAGGAAAAAGATCTGCCCCTCTTCTTTATCAGATGCCTTCATTGCAGCAGTAAACAATTAAATCAGCAGGAATTGGAAATCAGGGTTATTTCCATTCAATGCCGTTACCCACTGGCTGTGTAGAAGTGTGTGTTTGTGGCCTGCAGGGACAGCTAGGCTGAAAATGGCATGAAGAATCCAATGGATGTCTAATAGATGTCTTTGAAGCCTGTGGCTTTAATCTCCAGTGGACTAGGTCTTTAGTTAGTAGCTTCTAGAAAGATACTAAGAGAGCCAACTCCTGTGTTGAGTTCATCTCTCCACTGGAATATATTACCAAGCTTCTGTTTCTCAGTTTAGATCCGAGACTCATTAGAAAGCATCAGGATTGGTTCAATACTTTTATATGCTGGAGGAGAGGAGAGTTTGCTACTTAAATCCTATGGCCAACCCAGGCTTGCCATTGCATACCTGTGGTCCCAGTACTCAAGAGGCTTGGCTTGGCGACACAGTGAGACTTCATCTCAAAAAAAAAAAAAAAAGAAAGGAAAGGAAAGGAAAAAGGAAAGGAAAAAGGAAAGGAAAGGCACCACAGGAGAAAAGAAATTCTGTGATACACTTTGTGTAAATCAGATGGTCACTGTCCCGACTGGCTAGAAATGGATCTTTATGTTACAAAATAAAAGTTTTAAGCAACTTTCATTGAATTTTAGCCGACTTTTGGTATACACCTTTCTTCAACAGCGGTTGTAAGGCAAACCTGACAAAAAGCATCCTGGTAAATTGTTTGCAGCTGGAGGGAAATTATTCCCGACTTGACTTTCGTATCAGCCTAGAGAGGCCCTGGTAGAGACGCTGCTGTGCTTGTGCCCTTGTGCAGATGGGGAGAGGCGTGGCCACAAAATGTATTCTTCACAGTTAGGAGCCAGTAGTTAGCTAGAAAAGTACGTCTCTGCTTTTTAAATGTTCAGTGTCTGTCTGTCTGTCTGTCTGCTGTCTATCTATCTATCTATCTATCTATCTATCTATCTATCTATCTATCTGTTTATTTAAGATAGGGGTTCTCTGTATATATAGCCCTGGCTGGTCTGGAATTGACCAGGCTGGCTTTGAACTCAGAGATCTGCCTACCTCTGTCTCCCTGGTACTGAGATTAAGTGTCCTCCACTACACCCAGCATGATTATTCTTGATTTGTCTGTGTATTAGAAAACACAGTGAAGGTAATAAGTGCTACTGCTTATGATAAACAATAGTACTTAGCATCTACTATTGGTTATTTTGTCAGAGTACTTAGAGTGGAAAAATCCCTGTTCCTTGCTGCATCTCTTTCTCCCTCCTTCCTACCTGTCCTGGGCTTGTGGGATGCCACCAACCCGCTCCCCAATCATGACATTGAGACTTGCTAGTTTTGAATGCTTAGCCTTGTCTTAGCCCTTACTTTAATGTTTCTCTTTATGTACCTTTTGCCTCACGGCATTTTACCTTTCTGGTTGTCCTCTCTGTCTACTGGCTGGCCCCAGGCTCCTCCCTCTTCTTCTCCCTTCTCTCCTCTCTTCTTCTCAAGCCTAGATTTCTCCTCTTTTTTTAGTTCTTTCTGCCCTGCCCTGCCCCCCCCCCCAAGCCCTGCCTATCCCTCTACTGCCTAGCTGTTGGCGTTCATCTCATTATTAGACCAATCAGGTGCCTTAGGCAGGCAAGATGAAACAGCAACACATCTTTTCATAATAAACACATGCAGCATAAGTAAATGTAACACATCTTTACACAGTTAAAGTGATATTCCACAGCATAGACAAATGTGGCACAACCTTACATAGTTAAATATTCCACAATACCCACCTCCCCTTTTATTTTTTGTGTGTGCCATGTTGGAGTTTGGAGTTGGAAGGTCTTGGGCATGGTAGGCTAGCCAGTACTCCACCATGCAACCACCCGGCTCAGAGCTTCTGTCCTTACGGAAGGAGTCATTCCTTTGGCTTCCACCTGCCTGAACCCTCACAGCTGTCTCCATCATCATCCAGATTACTCAGAGGTAAACGGTCCCGGTCTTAAATTGTAGAGCCAGGATCCCAGACCAGCCAGTCAGCCAGATGTAGTGTCACACATCTATCACTCCAGTGTCAAGGACACAGAACTGGGAAGTGTAACTGTCCTGGATTACAGAAGAAACTCTGTCTCAAGAAACCAACAAAAGAGAAGAAAAAGAAAAGTTAAAAGCTCCATGTGGAATGTTGGGCCTGTATTTCCAGCACTTAGGAGTGGAGGCCGAGGATCTGTTTAATACCTTCCTTTGCTACCTAGTGAGAACCAGGCTAACCTGGGCTAAATGAGACCCTTTCTTAACAACACCCCCCAAATCAGGCCGTGTATCCCCAAGGCCCTTCCCCCACTAAGCTAAGAGTTCACCACCGGTTGCCCAGTTTGTTTCTAATCGTCCCCATCATGGCACAAATACCTCATTTCGACCTCCTGTAGAATCTGGATAAAATGAGATGAAGCAGAAAGAGCAAATAGCTAACCATAGTCAGGCCACGAGGAAAAGCAGCTTGTTCACGCTTCTGGGTAGTCTTCCATCCACATATATCAAGAGTGGCATTTGCTTGTTAGTTTCAGTGTTCTGCCTGCAGGCCAGAAGAGGGTACCAGATTTCGTTATAGATGTTTATGAGCCACCATGTGGTTGCTGGGAATTGACCAGGGTCCTCTGGAAGAGCAGCCAGTGCTCTTAACCTCTGAGCCATCTCTCCAGCCCGGTGTTTGCTTTTTTTATTTGGAATGATAACAAAAATTTATTTTTCCTGATTAAACCAGCCCCAAATTGGAACCACCTGTCTTGACTTCTGCTTGCTAAATAGCATGTCCTCTTATTACATAAAACAGTAGGACTCAGGCATGGTGGTACTAATCTATACTTTCATAACTGACGATGGGAAGGTGGCATCGTGAGGTTCAGGTGTTCAAGGCTGTTCTTGGTTCAAGGCCAGTGTGGGTTCTGAGTATATCATACTCAGACTAAATCAGCATGGGTTTTACAGTCAAGACTTCGTTATAGCATTTGTGATGTGTTACCTAATGGTTAGCCTTTGTTTTCCTCTTTATAAAATATAAACAATATTAGCACTTAATATACAGGGCTGTCCAGAGCATTGAGTGGCAATTCCTTGTCTGACATTTATTTTTCCCATTAGAAATCATTAACCTCCTGCAAATATACCAGTTTCTCTGCAATTTTAATTTACTTTTTTTTTTTTTTTTTCTTTTTGTTTTTTTCGAGACAGGGTTTCTCTGTATTGCTTTGGAGCCTGTCCTAAAACAGTTCTTATAGACCGGGCTGACCTCTATCTAACTCAGAGATCTGCCTGCCTCTGCCTCCCGAATGCTGAGATTAAATTGGTTTTTTTTTGGTTTTCTTTAAAGACAGTTATTTTTAAATAATGACTATCCTGCATCCTCCCCAGCCTCTGTCAGTAAGATGGATTGCCTTAATCTTCCACATACTTCTCCAGGGCTGCCACAGCTGAGGTCTAGCCTGATGTAACAGAGAAAACTGGAACCCGTCTCCTAGTTCCTAGCCTTCTTGAGTGTTCGCCCCATGGTCACCACAGCAGTTTTTACAAACATGTTTGTTGCTGCCTTGCTTGAAACAGGACAGCGGTAGCAATGATACCCAGTTCCTCTTTCTGATGCCTTCAGCAGTCTGGTGCTTGCTTCCAGCTCTCAAGGCTCTTCTTCCTTCCACCAGGCTGGACAGCTAAAATGTCCCCAAGTGCTAGTTCTTTCTGCTCTAGGTCATTGCTGTCTGCTGGATATAATCCCCTGGGTAAATTCCTCTGATAGCCACTGGACGTGTTGCTGTTGGGCTTAGGGACGTAGCTAGTACTGCTACAAGCTGAGAAGCTGCCTGTTTATTTTAGTTAAATGCTGGTCCCGAGCTTCTGGGTGCATTCCTGTTTTTTTTTTTTTTTTTTTTTAAAGAGTGCTCTTGGGGTTTTTGAGATAAGCTCCTAGCTGGCCCTGAACTCACTATGTAGCACTCCTGCTCAGCCTTCCGAGTGCTGGGATTATCGGTCTATGCTGCTACCTCCGGCCCTTCAAGTACTTTTTCTTTTGTTCTTCTTGGCTATTTGCTACCTACCTGTTCATCAGATTTCAGCTTACTACTCGAGGGAGACTTTTTCTGTCTTACTGGTCTGTTGTTTTAACTTCGGCACAGTTGGCGGCACTTTAGTACAATATTATTTCACCCAGCGATTTCAACTCCGCAGTTACCAGCCTGCTTCTCTAGCAGTGGCCTGGCTGCTCATGCCGTAGGCTGGCTGGTGGGAATTCTGTTCAGCTCAGCTGCTGACATTAAATGTAGCTTTAACTGAATCTCTATCATTCTATTTATAAATAAAACTATAGAGATTCAAAGGCTGGGGTGAAAACTTGCTATCTCAGAGAGGCTGAGTAGCAATAGATGACACTCTCTCCTTGCTGGAATCTCCCCAAAAGAGAGGGCCCTTGTGTTCTGCCAAAAAAAAAAAAAAAAGAAGAGAAATGTGCCACTCCGAATCCCTCCCTACTACTTAATGGTCTCACTATCTCTTTCTGATGCTCTGTGATTACTTTCTGTCAGCTAGTTGCTAACTCAACTTCCTGACCCAAGGTTAATTTTATTTAGTTAATGCAAATGCAAACTCCAGGTTCATAGTGTGATTGAATAACCCCAACATTTTCTCCTTTTTGTCTAAATAAAAAGGACTGGTTTACGCTCTTAACACAGTAAAACTCCATACAATGAGAACAATTACCAAGTAAGGAGTATATTCACAGTGTCCGGTTCATTTCTATTTGGCAAATTCAGAAAAACTAATGCATCCTATCTTGTTGAGTCCAGAGTTCAGTACACAATTCACTTTCCATTCTAAACTGTATTAGCAGCCCCAAACTGTCTTTTTAAACCTCCAAACATTTCCCTAGGTAAATCATTTAAGCTTTTGTGTCTCTCAACCTTACACCCTTTTTCCCTCTTTTGTGAGTTTCTTTTCTGAATGTGGTAACAAGGAAAACTGTAACTATAACCATCTCATCCTCAACTCCATCAGAGACCCAAGAAGGACCTAATGTTACCTGAGTAAACAGGAATTGCAGGGCAGACAACTTAATTTCCAAAACTGTAGGAATGACAGAAGCAGCTGGCTGCCTGGACAGTCACCCAAGGTTCCTCTGCAACGTTGGGGCATCCAGCTTCAGCCTACGGTCCTAGAATATCTGACATATTTTTCTGTGAAGCAGGATTTTTGAAGGACTGTCCTACCTTGTGCTGAAAAAGTTCAAAGTCCTTTTGTGTCCTGCTCATCCAATTTAGACCACATACTCTCAGCAGGTGAGGCAAGGGCAGCTTCTTGCCCAGTAGCTAACTTTGCCACAACAAAAGCAAACTCCATTTGGAGGTTTTCAGATGCCCATCATCCTCTTTTGAAGTAAATTGATGCTGTCATGAGCAGATGTGTGTCACTGTCATAAAAGCATTAAGTTATTTATTAAGACATCTTAAATGCTATATTCTATAGGTCTCTGAACTATATCTGTGTTTAACCTTGAAATATAAGTACAAGTTTATTCTAGATGACTAACTACTAATCTGTATTTCTTAATTGTACATTACATTTTTAAACAAGCTACATAGGTAGAAACACCTTAAACAAGAATAGAAACATATACAGTATAACAAAAATAACCTTAAATTTGTATCAGTGTACAAAAATATTTATCAGTGTAAAATATTTGAGATTAATAGTTGCTTTTTAGTTTAAAGTAGATTCAATAATCTAACCTTTTATACTATCCCTTCCATCTGTCTAAATGAAGAATTTTTCTCTTACTTTTGTCTTATAACTATGCTACTTTCCTGTATAATTTAAAAATTTCAATCACAGCAAGAGCATGCTACTTAATAGCTGGTAGTACTCACCTATAATCCCAGCACTTGGGAGGATGAGACAGGCAAGGACTGTATTTGATTTGTTCACTGTTACGTAAAGTCAGTGCTCGTCACTTAGCAGAGGTTCTGTAAGTCCATGAAATGAAAGAACATGCTGAAACAGGTCTGCTTTCCAAAGTACCACAGGCGCTCGGGAGCCATGTACATGGTAACCCTGTTTGCTTTCGTCAGTTAGTCAGCCCCTTGGAAGATGCCCCAGCTGCATACGCCGAGTCCGCTGAGGGAACATAGGGCCAAACAGGTGCCTTTGGAAAAATCTTAGCTCTTATTGCACCTATTGCTTTTCTGGTGGCATAATACACACTTAGAGGGTGTGTCTTACTTTATCTACTTGCCATATATAATCTTCATGTGTATATATATATATATGTGGAACTGTATATATATATATGAATGAAACTGTATGTCACAAACAGTACATAATAGTTGATGAAATGCTGACTGACCATGCTTTGAAAACTGCAGCGTTATTTATGATGATAAAGTGAAATTCCTACTTTAGAGACAACTATGAATACAAAGTATTTTAATTTTTAACTAAGATAACATATTTCCTCTCCCATGTTAACTGAAGTTGCAGAAATGCCCAGATAAAAATTCAAGAATGGATACAATTCTGAGAAGAAAGCTAACATGTGACTGATGGTTTATTAAATACTATCTGTCTTAGTTCTTTTTAAATTGCATATAATTTTCTTCCTGTATCTGCAAAGATTGTTTTCCCAGAATATCCACATTTCTGGAAGATGGGAAATAACAGTAAAGGAGGACAGGGAGCAGAAAGGAGAAAGTAAGCATGGCTGTTTTTCAGTTTGTGGGAAACTTTCTAACTGGGAAAGCAAAAATCCATGGTGTTCGATTGTACATTTGCAGGTGGATTCTGAAGAGCCAGTCTTTGAGGCTGTTATCAATTGGGTGAAGCATGCCAAGAAGGAGCGAGAAGAATCCTTGCCTGACCTCTTACAGTATGTTCGGATGCCCCTGCTGACCCCCAGGTACATTACAGATGTGATAGATGCTGAGGTAAGTATGTAAGGCTACGGGTATCAGAACCTTCACTTTCTCCGTGGCTTAGTTTGTACAATCGAAAACAACAGTTTTAACATAGGTTCACCTGGTTCCCTTCAGCAGGATTGAATGCTGGAGAGGTAAAGCTGGGAACTTCCTAGGCATAAGAAAAGGTGATTGCAGGCGGGACAAATGGTTCTGCAATTAAGGGCACTGACTGCCTTTCCAGAGAACCTGAGTTCAGTTCCCAGCACCCACATGGCAGCTCACACCCATCTGTAACTCTAGTTTCAGGGGACGTGACACCTTCACACAGACCCTATATACACGCAAAACACAAATGTACATGGGGGGAAAAAAAAGAAATGTTAATTGTTTAACAAGTCAGGCTTTGTCACAAATGAAAATCCACAACTTGATTTTGTGCTTTGTTTATTTGTTTTGTTTTATGTGAGTCTGAGGGTTTTATAACCTACATTCATCCTCAGGCAACTTGTTATAGATTAACAGAGTGTAAGCCAGCAAGGTATTCTCAGCCAGTTCTTTTACTGGCAGGCTGCATTTTGTGGTTACAAAGAAAGGATGGATTGCTGTATTACTTAGCTAAAAAAGTAATTTTATAAGGAATCTTAAAGGAATAAAAAATCTAAACTTTTTTTGCTGGGCGTTGGTGGTGCACGTCTTTAGTCCCAGCAATTGGGAGGCAGAGGCAGGTGGATCTCTGTGAATTTGAGGCCAGCCTGATCTACAGAGTGAGTTCCAGGACAGGCTCCAAAGCAATACAAAGAAATGTTGTCTTGAAAAACCAGGGAAATAAAAGAAATAAAAATAAAATCTAAACTTGTATATATGAAAAATAATTAGTCAGCTCTATTGTAAAATCTCAGGGTGCATCCCCACTCATCAACAGTTTTTTTATGTCAGGAAGCTGAGGGTGGAAATGGCTACAAGGAAGTAAACATCACTGTCGATCACCAGCCCATCCTAGCAAGAAAGGTACATCAGCCAGCAATAGCTAGTGACTTGGGAGGGCAAGGTTTCTTTGGCTTGCACAATACAGTCTGTTGTTAAGGGAACAGTCATCACATGGCACCACAGTCAGGGCCAGAGCAAGGAGGGCTGGCGCTCCGCTGGGCTCTCCTTTGTTAGGCCGACCCCAGCCCATGAGACAGTGTGGCCCACATCAAGGGTAGGTCTCACCTCTCCAGTTCAGCCTTTGTGGAAACACCCTCACAGACACACCCATTGGTGCGTTTCCTAAACCAGTCAGGTTGATGGTGAAGGCAACCTTCACACCCTTCCATCTAGGTGTTTACATTGTGATTTGGTACAGAGATTCTGGAAGCAGAATCAGGAGGCTGCAATCCTAAATCAAGTGTTCCTGTGTGGCCTTGAGGGAGATGACCTCAGGTTTTCCTCTCTGAAGCAGACCTGTCATTACCCACCTCATACATTGTTGCCAGTATTCATATGAAAAAGCTTTTATAGTCATGTCTTGTACGACAATATTCACTACTATTGCTTATTTTCTTTTCAAATGCATTACTGAAAATGTCTTGGAGTCAAGCTAATAAACAAGAGCTTATGAGTTAGAGACCCTAACAGGAAACAAATGGCGTGCTCTGAATAGTGCAGTTTTGAGGAAGGCTTATTGTATAAAGGAGCTGTTTAAAAAGATAAATTTGGAGAAACAGTAAAAGACAGTGGGAGATGATAGTCCAAAACAGCGAAGCTGTTAACAGCTCTCAGTCTGAAGAGTGTGTGTGGAGAAGTGGTTACCGGGATCTGAAGGAAAGAGCTTTGAGAGGAGCCCTGACCTTCAGTGGATCTCATCCCAGCTAGAGGCCAGTGTGGAGACCACCCTGACCTACAGGGACCCTGTCAGAAAGAAAGGATAAGAAAGGGGAAGGGGAACATAGAAGGAGGTGGAGAAGGAGAGGGGCCTTTAGGGGAATTACTTCAGAGAAGCCATATTTTTCCAAAATGTCATTTTTTGACATTTTGCCTCACTCTTATCGAGATCAGGCTGGCCTAGAACTCAGTATGTCGCTCTAAATTGGCCTTGAAATCTCAGACATCCTTTTGTCTTAGCCTGCCAAGTGCTGGGATTACAAATGTGAAGCCCAGCATGCTCAGCTTCCCTTAAAATTCTTACTGATCAGGCTGAGAAGGCTCAGAGGTTAAGAGCACTGACTGCTCTTCAAGAGGTCCTGAGTTCAATTCCCAGCACCCTCGTGGTAGCTCCTAACCAGCTGTAATGAGATTTGGTGCAGCTCTTCTGTCGTACAGGTGTGCATACCCTTATGTGTGTCCTTTTGTTCTTACGCTGTTAGACATGGCCTGTGTTCACCCCTGTCTCTCGTGTTTCAGCCGTTCATCCGCTGTAGTTTACAGTGCAGAGATCTAGTTGATGAAGCAAAGAAATTTCACCTGAGGCCTGAACTTCGGAGCCAGATGCAAGGACCCAGGACAAGAGCCCGTCTCGGTAAGCTGGTGTTCCTGGCAGAGTGAGGGACAGTTTTCAGCTATCTTTTTTTCAGATGGTTGACATAGTTGGAAATAATCTGTAATGCACACAGTGAACTTGTTTCAGACTGGTTTTTAATCTTTTTAGACAAGTCTTCGCCGTTTTCCTAAAATCTGAGAGTATCTGTATGTCACATAACTGTTGGAGACTAGAGAGAAAAGTGTTTTATCATACATTATGTAGCATTTTTGCTTCAGCATTTAAACATAGGGCTTGGAGCTGGGGTTGTAGCTCAGTTGGTAGAATGCTTTCCTAGCCCTAGGTCCAATCCCCAGCACAATATAAACTGGGTGTGGTGGCAAATGCCTATAATTGGAGTGTAGGGGCTGGCGGAAGATTAAGGTCATCTTTGGGTACAAACAATTAAAAGCCAGCATTAGAGACTGTCTCAAACAAACAAACAGAAGTCCTAAACTCACAGTGCTTTTGGCAGTCACATATGGTAGGCAAAGTCCTAACCTTTGAGGCCAGTTATTACTTACCTTAGACAGGAAGTTTAATCTGCCTGTGCTTTGGGTGCCTTACCTGTGAACTGGAGTCAACATAGTTCTAAGAAAGTTCCAGTAATTAAATGATGCAATCTCGATAAAGGCTAGGATAGTAATTGTCACATAAGTGCTACCTATGTTAGCTATAATTCTAGCAAACAGACACATGTTCAAATCTTAGCCCCACCAGTGACTGGTTGGTGATAGCAGTTAGCAGTTAGCCGAGTAGTGGTGGCAGATGCCATTAATCCCAGCACTCAGAAAGGCAGAGGCAGACAAATTGTCGTGTTCAAGGACAGCCAGAACTACACAGAAAAAATTTGTCTCGAAAACAGACAAACATACAATTAATTCCTACAGGATGACAAGACATGATCTGTGTATCATGAACTATAAGCAAAAATATAGAACAGTGTATGTAGATGAAGAAGTAAATGTAGAAAGGTCTAAAAACAGAAGTTAGAGGAAAATATTCCAAGCCTCTGTCCGTCTTTTGTTTGATTTGCTTGCAGGGTTTATCTAGTTTTGTTGTTTTCAGATAGGTTCTCGCTCTCGTAACCCTCAGTAGCCTGACCCTGAGCATGAGCAATCCTGCCTCGTCCTTCTAAATTCCAGGGTTACGGGCATAAGTCACAACATCCATTGTCTTGTTCTAGTTATAAAATAACTTTTCTAATCATACAAATAGTATTAAATATATTCATATTACTGAGCCAAGGAGAAAATTATAGCAGTCATATAATGCCTTTATCCTAAGTGTTCTCGGTGGAATGGGGGAGGGGGATAATTACCGGCGTATCAGTAAATTATTGATATTTAAAAAAAGATACGCAACCCAGGTTCCATCTGTAGAGAGTGAATGGTTGAGGGGCTTTGTGGAACTATGTAAAACACTGAGTCATGCATGCATAGCTGGGGATTCTTCATTTCTGTGAGAGGACAGGTGTGAGAGTCAGTTCTTTCCTCCCAATGTGTCCTGCGATCGATCCAGCATCAGGTTCTTCTCAGGCTTGATGAAAAATGCCTTTTCCTGTGGAGTCAACTCATTGACCTCAGCCTTTTCCTGTTTCTTTTTCAAAACAGAATCTTGCTCTGTAGCCCCGTTTGACCTCAAGTTCTTAGTTGTCTTGCTTCTATCTCTTAAGTAGCTGGACCACAAGCCTGTGCCACCAGCACCAAGCTGTGCTGACTGCACACCTAAGAAAAAATGAAGCTGTCATTTTACAATGGGCGTATAGCTTGCCTTGAGTGGGAGGCCTGGGGTTTCATCCTCGGTACTTAAAGGCAGAAACTCTTGAATACTTCATTATAGAAGCCAAGACCCACCACACAGCGGTTAGCAGGGCTATGCCACAGGTAGGATGGCAAGTGTTGTTCTTTTGTTATAGGAATAAAGCTGGAGAAGGGGGGGGCGAGTGGGGATCCCAAGGGAAGGGACCACGTGGGAGAGCACAGCAGGTTCCACAGCAGGTGAGGGTGACCGGGGTGGAGGGAATAACACGCTATGCAGAGCGGGAGATGAATCTCTGAGTTTGAGGCCAGCTGTCTACAGAGAGAGTTCTAGGTCAGCCAGGGCTGTGGAGAGGAAAGAAACCAGGGAAAGGTGGGGAGGCGGTACAGCTCAGTGAGCGAGCACTCGCCAGCGCGTGTGAGCCCCTGGGTTCAGTCCCAAAGGTCAAAAAATGAAAGTGAGTTCCAGGCCAGCTGAAACTACGAAAGAGACATGTCCTCAAAGCTGCGACAAAACCACGTGGCATGGTAGTGCACACCTGCACTGAAACAGGAAAAAAAAAAATCACAAGCTTTGGACCATACAGAGCTATGTGGGTAGATCCTGTCCATCTCCCTCCTCTCTACCCCACTCCCTAGAAAAAGGTTTTGCTGGGCAGCTCCTGTTGGATTCACTAAAGCTTGCCTTGTTAGCAGTCTTATCTTTTTGGATTCGAGCCTAGCCGAGCCTTGAACAGCTAAGCCATCTGTAAAGCCTGGGTAGCAGTCTTTTAAAACATCTTCTGTCCGAGAAAAATTATAGAAGTTCTTTATAGCAAAGGTTGAGGCCTAGTGATCCAGCTTCCTAGTATGTAAACCTATGAAATGCCTAATTAAGTCGGCATGGTGACACATGCCTATGGTCTCAGTACTTGAGATTTAGAAGCACAATGGTGAGTTTGAGGCTAGCCTGGACTACATGTCAAAAACTTGGAGTGACTCATGTTGACATCTCTGCCCAAATTCTACTATGGACTTGACTATTTATGGAGTAATTTTGGGTTGACAGGCCATGCTGCCATTTTTCCAGGGTTTTCTCTACCCTTTGCAAGCTGCCTGAATGAAATCATATCAAAAGAACGTTGTGGGGTTTTTGTTGTGTTGTTGTTGTTGTTGTTTGTTTGGTTTTCTTTGTTTTTGAGGCAGGCCAGGCTAGCCTTGAACTTACAGAGGTCTGCTTGCTTCTGATATGTTTGTTTGTTGTTTAAAACTTAGGAATTACATAGTATAACACAAATGATGGCTGAAAAATGGAAAATGGAAAACTTACTGTATTTTTCTGAACATTGAGGCCACCAAACAACATCCTTAACCTATTTGAGCCTTTCTGCTTACATTCCCCTATAAGTAGTTACTCCGCCAGGATGAAGTAACTGCCTTTCCCTGCCTTTGTTCTTAGGAGCCAATGAAGTGCTTCTGGTGGTTGGGGGCTTCGGAAGCCAGCAGTCTCCTATCGATGTGGTAGAGAAATACGACCCCAAGACACAGGAGTGGAGCTTTTTGCCAGTAAGTCATGTCGGAACCATTTTTGGCAGAGTTTAAATGTCCTCGATCCCTGATAAGTAGATCATGAAAGATGAGCTTTGAGAACAGAAACCTTGAGATAGCATAGTGTCCCTTATGGCAATGTCATGTGTACAGTTAGGTATCCAATAGATGGTTGCTTTTCTTTCCTTTGGATGGTAGTGGTTTTTCTTGGGCTTTTTCTACTCTTTATTTTTTTATGTGTATCCATTCATGTGAACATGTCTGTGCTATAGCATGTATGTAGAGGGCAGAGATCTTTCAGGGTTCAAATTTGGGTCATCAGCCTTGGCTGCAAATACCTTTACTCAGCAAACCATCTTTCTGGTTGTTTTTCTTTCTTTTGGAAACAAAGTCTCACTATGTCGCCTCTCCTGTAGGCCGTCTTCCTTCCTCAACCTCCTTAGTGCCAGGGCTACTATGTATGTACTTGGCTTGTATTTTGAGGTAGGGTCTTGCTGTGTATCTCTGGCTGGCCTGATACTCAATGTGTATCCCACGCTGACCTTGAACTTGTGTCAATCCTGCTTCTGGCTGATAAATGCTGGCATGTATACACCACCATACCCAGTTTAGTTTGGACTGAATAGCCATTGGTCATGGTGTCCTAGACTGAACTGGGGTTGTGTTAAGCCTAACTGAAATGGTAAGTTTGTATATCCTTCAGGGTTTCAGTATTGCATAAACAAGAGCCGTCTCTGAGCGAACATGGAAAATCTTACCCTTTAGAGTATTTCATTCCAGGCTCTTGGATAAGGAATATACCAATACCGTTCTTACGGAAGGATATTCAGTCTCTTAGCCCAGTGCCTTAAAGAAAGAAGACAGTAGAAAGCCAAAAGTCTTTTGTAAACCTTGGAATGAGGCAGAAGGATTTCATTTTGTAGGCAGTCACCTTCTAGCCCCTTTGGGGTGAACCTTATTTGCAAGGAGGTTTCTAATGACAAGGAACAAACAGAGAAGGTAAAAACAGACGGGTATTGGTGTCGCACACCTTTAGTCCCAGCACTGGGGAAGCAGAGGCAGGTGGATCTCTGAGTTCGAGACCAGCCTGGTCTACAGAGTGAGTTCCAGGACAGGCTCCAAAGCTACAGAGAGAAACCCTGTCTCCAAAAACCAAAAACCAAAACAAAAATCAGGCAGGGTATGGAAAGAAAAGGCAGGGGCTAGAACTTGCCCATCTAAAATTCTATGATTTCTCTTCTCTCCTAAATCCAGAGTATCACTCGAAAAAGACGGTATGTGGCCTCAGTTTCCTTACATGATCGGATCTATGTAATTGGTGGGTATGATGGCCGTTCCCGCCTTAGTTCAGTGGAATGTCTAGACTACACGGCAGAGGAAGATGGGGTCTGGTATTCTGTGGCCCCTATGAATGTGCGGCGAGGCCTTGCTGGAGCTACCACACTGGGAGGTAGGTTTGATGACAAACGGTGTTCTCTTATCTGGGTTATTGTCCTTGCCTCCTCCACTGTCTGGCAGGAGTATGACCTGTGAGGAAAAATGTCTAAGTTCAAATGCTCACTTAGTGTTAGCTGACACTACTCATTGTTTGTGCACATCCCAGCACTCGCTACAAAATCCACTATTCAAGTGTGCTGAATGGTAATAGTTGCTGGCCATATTTTTTAAACTCCATTTGAGCCATCTTCAAATGCTTTTAACTGTTTCTTTCTTTCTTTTTTTTTTGTTTTTTTTTGTTTTTTGTTTTTTTTTTTTTTTTTTTTTCTTGTTTTTTGAGTTTTTGTTTGTTTTTGTTTTTTGTTTTGTTTGTTTTGAGACAGGGTTTTTCTCTGTAGCTTTGGAGGCTGTCCTGGAACTCACTCTGTAGACCAGGCTGGCCTCAAACTCCCAGAGATCTGCCTGCCTCTGCCTCCCAAGTGCTGGAACCAAAGGCATGTGCCACCACACCCTGTGCTTTTAACTATTTCTTAAGTATGTCATCATATACCTCTCTTCTCTTCTGGTTATTTTTTATTTTGGTTTTTGATTTTTTTCTCTTGAAACAGTTTCACTATATAATAAAGCTCAGATTGACATTAAACTCATAATCCACCCTCATCTGCCTTGGCTTACTTAGTGCTGGGATTTCAGCACTCTGTACCAGTACCACACCTTGGCCTCCCGGCTTACACTGAGATATATGTATGTATGTACGTGTGTATGTATGTATGTATGCATGTGTCTATCTATCTATCTTGAACCTGTGGCTTTCCTGCCTGAGCCTGCTGGGCTTAATGTCTTAATGCCAGGCTTTAAATGTCTTGGTTGTACAGCCTTTCTTGCTTCTGAGGTTTAACTGACTTAACACATGAGGGAGAAATGCTCAGGGTGAAAAATATACTTTCACAATAATGTATTTATGTAGTGTCATACAGTACCATATATAGTTCATATGCATAATGGGAAATTTAAGAAATAATAATAAAAATCAACTTGAAGAAATACTGAGGAATTTGTTTGCTTAGGATAAGATCTCAAAAAAAAAAAAAAAAAAAAAAAGGATAAGGTCTCATATAGCTCAGGCTGACCTTGTACTTAGTCTGTAGTCAGAAATGGCCTTGCTTCTCCTAGTCTCCCTCCCTCCCTCTCTCCCTTCCCCTCTCTCTCCCTCCCTCTCTCCTGCTCTCTCTCTCACACTCGCACACAGGTGTTGGTGGCACATGCCTTTAATCCCAGCACTCGGGAGGCAGAGGCAGGCGGATCTCTGTGAGTTTGAGGTCAGCCTGGTCTACAGAGTGAGTTCCAGGACAGCCAGAACTATTACACAGAGAAACTCTGCCTTGAAAAAGTAATAAATAAATTTTTGAAAATTTTGTAATAAAGATGCTAAAATGTAGCCCTTCACAGTTGATGGCGTCTGTCAAGGGAATGGGAAAAGACTCAGGTTTTTTTTTTTTAAGGGACTGGCCACTGGGAGTTTGATCATTTGTCACTGAGTTTATGGGCAACACAAATCGTACCTGGTTTTTTGGTTTTTTTTTTTTTTTTTTTTTTTCTTAAAATTTTTTTTGTGGGGAGGACACAAGGATGGGAGGGTGGGCCTGAGAGGGATGGGATTGAGCATGGTCAGGGTGCAGTGTGTGGTATTCCCAAATAATCAACAAATATTGTTGGGGGGGAAATGGCTTTGTACGCCTGCTCCCCCTTTATGAACCTCCCAAGTGCTGTAATTGTGTGTGTGTGTCCACCCCCACCTTAACAGTGGGGAGTTTGTAGAGAAAATGATCCTTAGAAATGTCTTCTTAATAGTCTACTTTGTTCATTCTGAGCAGATATGATTTACGTCTCTGGAGGCTTTGACGGAAGCAGGCGTCATACAAGTATGGAGCGGTATGACCCAAACATTGATCAGTGGAGCATGCTGGGAGATATGCAGACAGCTCGAGAGGGTGCAGGACTAGTAGTGGCCAGCGGAATAATCTACTGTCTAGGTATGCGTCTGTGATGCGGGATGGAGAGAAGTCAGTGTTTAGTAGAAACTGGAGGGCATCACTGTCACCAGCATTAAGTCCATCCACCTGCACCAGCAAGAACTCTGGTCTATCCCAGTGTGTTGTTCATGTAGGGAATTGCATGTGTGAGCTGGAACTCTGGAAGAACTAACTGAGTTACTCACAGAAGGCCAGCTAAAACGAGCCTAAGCATCTGCCTTTCTTCCTGGGATATTCTCTGCTTTGTCTTTCAGGAGGATATGATGGCTTGAATATATTAAATTCAGTTGAGAAATATGATCCCCATACAGGACACTGGACTAACGTTACACCCATGGCCACCAAACGTTCTGGTAAGACCAGGTCTCAGACAGGATGGAAGCTCACAGTCCTGCCGTGTACAGTGTTGGTATGGCTACACTGTGGTGTCGGGAGGGTAGAGCTGTAGTTCTCATCTCACTGCAGGCAGGAGGCACATTCCTGTCTCCTTCATCTGTGTTCTCCAGATGTTAGGATGATGACGGTTTAAACTTTGCGCTAGATTATAAATTTGAAGGCAGACATTTCTTCCTCAGCCTTTAGCACTGCTATCTTGCCTGTCTAGCATAATTTTGTATGTGTAGTACATATTTAAATAAATGTTTTTGTTGTGTTGTTTTGGGTTTTTGCTTTTTTTATCTCTTTGAACTTATTTTTGGTTTTGTTTGTTTTCTTGTTCACACACGTGCACATACACCAGACAGGGTTTCTCTCTGTAGCCATGGCTGTCCTGGATCTCACTTTATAGACCAGCTAGCCTTGAACTCAGAGATCTGCCTACCTGTGCCTCTTGAGTGCTGGGATTAAAGGCATGCACCATCATGCCTTCCTGGACTTTGTTTTGAGGGTCCTACCATGTAGTCCTGGTTGGTGTACAACTTGCTGTGAGGTGGTCCTTCTGCTCTGGCTTGCAGTTACATGACCACATCGCTAATTTTTTTTTAAGCTAAGATCTCACTGTATGTAGTATGTAGCTCACCCTGACTTCAGCCTCCCAAGTACTGGGATTGTACATGTGTACCATACACCTGATAAATAAAGGCAATAAAGTACATACAATCTCTAATACCTAAGAATGAAAACCTTTTTTTTTTAAATTCTGCACATGCACACAGGGCCTTGCATGTAAGTATGCTAGCACAGACCTGCATCCCAACAGCCACTGACAGCTGCTGGCGTGGGAAAGGCTGAGGTGCAGCAGAGCAGACACTGCTGTCCCAGTGAACTGCCTCGGGACAGCGCTCCCGCAGCGCCATGGCCTTGGCCCTTGGCATCTTTAACCGTGACTGGCGCCTTCCCCCACCTTTGTTTAGCCAGTTGTGAGTTAGTAAAAGCGACCATCTCAGTTCTTCTGTTACTACTCCAAGTCCTAGCCAAAGGGTTAGCCATTGCATGGAGTAGCGTTTGCTGCCTCACAGTCTTCCAGGCCTGTTATACTCACATCTGCATCCCTCGTCTTCTCCAGGGTTCAACCATTAGTGACCATGTTTTGTTACTGGGTTCAGATGCTGGGCTTAGTGCCGTTCATTTGCTCCTCCTCTTTTTCCCCAGGTGCTGGAGTAGCCCTGCTGAATGACCATATCTACGTGGTGGGGGGGTTTGATGGTACAGCCCACCTTTCCTCTGTAGAAGCTTACAACATTCGCACTGATTCTTGGACCACTGTCACGAGTATGACCACCCCACGATGCTATGTAGGGGCCACAGTGCTTCGGGGGAGACTCTACGCGATTGCAGGGTAAGGGTTTTGAAAGTGGGGTAGAACATGGACTAGAGTCCATTCTGCCCATCATCATTTTGGAAAGAGGCATAGCGTGTGCTGTAGGTGAACACCTGCCAGGGCCGTGCTCACTCCCACCCCAGTACGGGGAGTGGAGGCTTGCATGCGGTAGGCGAGGTGAGTGCCCCATTGCTGAGCTACACCGCCAGCACTGGGGACTACTTTAAATGTAGGACTTGCTTGTCAAGGAGTGACAGCCTCATCTCTTCTGTTTTTCCCCTCTCAGATATGACGGGAATTCTCTGCTGAGTAGCATTGAGTGTTATGATCCTATCATCGACAGCTGGGAAGTGGTGGCCTCCATGGGAACCCAGCGTTGTGATGCTGGTGTGTGTGTTCTCCGAGAAAAGTAACTGGATTTGAGCGCCAGCTGGAGCTAGTGACTACTCCAAGGCAGAGTTTGTGGGAGAATCAAGGATCCTTTCCAGAATGTCTATCTCTGCCTGTGTGCACAGGGTGATTACAGGCGCCAGTGCTATGATGATTGTACTTATTGATACACATGCTCCTTCGCACTGGTGATGTTGCTCAGAGGGTGGCAGCAGGTGCTCATGGGAAGAGGATGCGCATTGGGATGAGAAAGCAGATCATCTCTCTGTGGCCTGAGGAGGAGCACTTTCTTACTGTTTCTAACTTACCATGTGCTTGGGAGAACGTACGTGTGTGTGTGTGTGTGTGTGTGTGTGTGTGTGTGTGTGTGTGTGTGTGTGTGTGAGTGAGAGTGAGTGTGAGATGCTTCATGTATTACAGAGAATTAAGGTGAATATGGCCTACTAGGTGTGGGCAGTGTCCACAGTGTCCAGCCTAGGTGATTGGAAGGATATCAGCTTATATAAGCCTGGTAAAATGAGTCATTTTCCAGCCTCAGAAGCAAAAAATACCTTTTCTAAAGGTTGCTCTGGCCACCACAGTTCCTTCCTGGAGGAAACTGAGATCACTGTTACAGTTTGAGAGGCCAGGAGGAAAGAGCCATATGCTATTCTCACTTAGGGAGACATGGTTGGTGTAGAGATTTGAGTAAGTGCTATAAACGGAGTGGAATGTGAGTGAACCAGAATATCCCTGGAGTGTAAGCTGGAGGGCTGGAGAAGACATATTTGACCCCCAAGTCTATCTAATGCAGAATGTTGTGCCATCTTGGCACTGGAGACTGAGAGAGTAACAGTGGGGGGAAATGCTAGAATAAGATGGTGTGAATGTGCAGGGTTCACTCTACCTGTGGTAAACAGAAGTACCTGTGACTTTACAATCTTAGTCCCTGCCGGGCTCAAGTAGCCACGGTACTGTTCACCTTTGAAAGGGTGAAGACCAGCTTTCTGGTGAATCAAGTGATACTATGTCACTACACTTCCGCACTATTTATTTGGGGATGGGGTGGGTGTGGCTGCAGCCTAGTAGTTCAGGTGCCTGATTGCTGCCCTGCTGTTTTAAGGGCACACTTTGCTAAGGCGTGCTTAATACTGCTGTGCGTGGTACATTCGGTTCTCTTCCTGCTACACTTTCTGTGTCTGTCTTTAGAGTGCATTCTGCTCATCCTGGAACAAAATAACCAAGATCAACTGAAAATCTTTTGTTGGTTCCCATACCTCTGCCAACATCTCTGACCTGCCATTCAAGGCCCCTCTGTCATAGGGTGACATTCTTGCATTATTAGTATAGCAAGTATGGGAATATGATAGCCTAAATTGGGCTACATTTTATTTCCCCTTTGCTGTGGAATTCCACTTTTCCCTCATTCCCTAATTGTGTTGGCCTACAGAGTTAATTCCCTTTGTATTTTTTTAAGAAAATATTAAAAATGGACTGTCTCAAATGGCTTTAAGAGAATCTGTGGCTCCTGGTCTTCCAACCTGTTTACCTTGTGTTTATCAAAGAACTCTGCTGCTGCTTTGGCCCCTTTCACGCTTGGAATCTACATGAAAACAAAAGGTAAAAAAAATAAATAAAAGAACTGGGTGATGGTGGCATACACCTTTAGTCCCATCACTGGGGAGGCAGAGGCAGGCAGATCTCTGAGCTCGAGGCCAGCCTGATCTACAGCCAGAGATAGACAAAGAAACCCTGTCTCAGAAAACAAAATGGATATAGAAGCAAAGCCCTGAGCACATTTTAGTGCCCGCTTAAATTGTAGGGTTTCAATCACGCTAGTAGTCATCTTTGTTTGCTTCAGTTAATGGCATGTGATCATACAAAAACTTGTGTACAAGACCTGCCATACAAGACTCTTCCTCTCTCTCCCCTCCCCCTTTCTTAAGACAGCATCTCACTATAGCTTTAGCTGGAAACTACAAGTGTAGACCAGGCTGGCCTGGAACTCACTGAGATCCACCTGCTCTGCCTGCCTCCCCATGGCTGGGATTAAAGGTGTGCTCCACAATACCCAGCTAAAACCACAAGACTCTGTTGGTCCCAGAGCCAAGCAAAGCAGAACAAGAGGATGACGCCCTTTGCCTGTCTTAGCACAAGGATTGTGTCTGCTAATAGAACCACAGCCTGGGAAATGTTCCTTTATCGTTGAAAGAGCTAGGGAAGGTGCTGGGAACCCACATGGGGGCTTCCAACAGTTAACTCCAGTTCCAGACATCTGGTGCCCTCTACTGGCGTTCAGGGGCACCAGCACACACAGTGCACCCACGTTCAGGCAGAACACAAACATGTTTTTAATCACAGAAATAGACCTAACTCCATACAAAGCTATTTCCTAACCCATTCTTGACGGCAATACTTTGTTCTTGAGTTGAACTACGAGATTCGATTTGAGTCTGTGACCCACTCGGACTATATCACATACAGAGTTCCCATCGTGCCATGAGGGCAAAGGCCGCGTGTGATTTAGTTGCTTCTCATTGGGATGTCCTCCCGGTCTTCATCAACCCATCACTAGGATGACTAGGATACAAAGATCAGTTAGAAAAGAGCGGCGGCTTTGGAACTCCCTGTCGGTTTGTAGACACTGCCCTGTGCCTTAGAAGGAGATCGTTTCCAGAAGCACTGCAAAAGCGCTTCGCTGCCTGACAAATGGCCACTGTCAGGCCCCAGGCTTAAGATTCGCACGCAACTTTTGCGACACGAAATGTACCCAGCTTTACAAGGCTTCCTCCGCAGGAAGCGCATGGACCGCAGTTTATCCTGCTGAGGTGGGGTCTGACCCGGCCTGTCGGGAACTCAGCGGTCAGGCGGCCACAGTGACCCGGCCGGGCCGACAGCAAGGGCGGCCGGGTGAGCAGGTGGGCGCAGAGCCGCAGGACCGTCACAAAGTCCAAGGCGCCTGCGCAATAGAGCCCAGACGCCTGCGCACCAGGGCGGGGGGCGCCCCGCCCCTGCCGAGCGGCGCAGCGTAGTTCCGGGTGAGCGGGCCCGGGCCGCGCGTGCGCCGTGGCGGCCCATGCTGTGGCTGCGCGGCGATGGAACCGGCTGAGCTGCAGAACGAGCTGGTGTCAGCCGAGGGCCGGAACCGGAAGGCCGTGCTGTGCCAGCGCTGCGGCTCTCGGGTGCTGCAGCCAGGGACTGCTCTTTTCTCCCGCCGACAGGTAGGGGAACGCGTAGAACTGACCGGAGTCGCTGTCCGCAGCCCTCGGGCGGGCGGGCGGGCGGCTCGAGCCTTAGTCCCGGCTCCCAGGTTTCCCGAGACCGCGCCCTTCTTCGCGGCCTCGGCCCCGCCCACCCGCGAGGCCCCGCCCACCCCGCGGGTGCGGCTGGCGGGTCGGACCCAAGTGGCCGGGCACGGGAGCGCCGTCGCACCTTTCTGTCCCGCAGAGCCCGGGCTGGGCAGGTGCACGTCCCCCCCCCCAAGCCTCGGGTACCCAGCGCGGGCCGAGGGAAGGAAGGACCCAACCCCAGCTTCCTGGCGCTCCGGCCAACCTGCCGCGCCCCTCAAGTGCATTTGCGGCCGCCACTCGGGGTCGCCCCAGGGCACCTGAGAACGGCTAGATTCGTGTCCCACCACAGCCCTCACCCATCTTTCAGTCCCTACTTCCCGTCTCATTAGCTGCTCGGCAGAGGAGCTCCAAAATCAAGTAGGAGTCTGTGTGTGTAAGGCTTATAAAGCCAAATTTTATTTAAAGAGAGAAAGCAGACTCTTCGGGCACGAGGGAATCCGGAATTAGAATCCTAGAGTGGATTATTTGTTTTTGGAGAGGGGGTTGTTTAGGGTTTCACTATGCAGCCTTGGCTGGCCTGGAGCTTGATGTGTAGACCAGGCTGGCTTCATACTCAGATCCACCTGCCTGCTTCTGCCTCAGTGCTGGGATTAAAGGTTTGCACCATTTATGCCATAATCTTACTACCAACACCCCAACGAGAAAACTGAGAAATTTTTCTAAGCGTGTGTGTGTGTGTGTGTGTGTGTGTGTGTGTGTGTGTGATACCAACTTACAGGATAGTGCAAACTGATCTTACTCAGACCCTGACTGTGTCTATGAGACGATGGTGAGCCTCTGTTCGTGGTTGGGCCGTTAGTAGTGAATAGTATGTATCTGCTACAAAAGCAAAGTCCTTTTCCTAGGAAGGAAAGTACCCTCCTTGTTCTGTGTGTCCTGATGATTTCCTATAGTGCCTGTTTTAATGAGAATCCCGAGGCCAGGCGTTAATTTCTCCATTTGTTTTATAAACTCGGTGGCCTCGAGAGGGCCCGAACTGAACTTTGGAGTTGACTCTTAACCTGACCACTAATTAGCACTGCAAAAGGTGTGTCGAGGCTCAGTGAGTCTCAGTGAGCATAGGGAAGAGTCTGGAAACTGAGCACTGTGCCTCTAGTGTGCCGCATAACCAAGGTCAGTTCTCAGGTCAGGTTGGGTATCCATTTTTGACAGCTTGCTACTTTTGTGAACTGACAGAAATGTAAAAGTTTCTGAGTGGTGTGCAGTGGTCCGTGCTTACAATCCTGTCACCCAGGGCTACACAGTTCAAAGCCAACATGAATACATAGTGAGAGTCCTAGATTACAGGCATGTGCCACCGCCCTAGTTTATGTCGTCCTAGGGATAGGACATGTGTTAGATTTCGTGCCTGCTTGGCAAGAACGCTACCAATTGAGCCACGTCTTGTTCGGTATTTTGACTGGCACATTTTCATCGTGTGATTTGTGTTTAAAAAAAAAAAAAAAAGCCAGGTGGTGGTGGCGCATGCCTTTAATCCCAACACTCGGGAGGCAGAGGCAGGTGGATCTCTGTGAGTCCACCTTCGTCTACAGAGCTAGTTCCGGGACAGCCTCCAAAGCTACAGAGAAATCCTGTCTCGAAAAACAGAAACAAAAAGCAAAACCCCAAAATGAGAACAGGTCCCGGAACTGGTTTCACATGTAAGGTATTCACGACCTGGAATTTGGTTTGGGATGACCAATCCCTGCCTTGCTTTCTTGTCTTGCATATGCTGAAGGCCACACCAAAACCTATTTCAGAGAACAGGAAGGGTTTGTTCGGGTTCCACGTCCTGATCATGGTCCATTATCAAGGGGCGCCAAGACCAGACCTCCAGCCTGTAAAGGAATGGTGCTCACTGGCTGACCTTCCTGCTCCCACTCAACAGCCCGTTTAAGCTCTGAGCATCCAGTGGCTTTTCCAGTGCAGAGTTCCAGACACTTCCACAGTCCTCCTCAAAACGGCCTGTTTATCACAGCCACAGCCCACTTTCCTCATTTGATTTCCGTGGCCGTGATGAACACAACCAAAAGCAGTGTGGGATTGACAAGCCTCTTTCACCCTATAGTTACAGGTCATCATGGAGGGGAGTCAGGGCAGGAGCGTGGAGGGCAGGAGCTGAGGCAGAGGCCTTGGAGGGAGCTGCTTCTGGCTTGCTCTCCATGCTTTGCTCAGCCTACTTTCTTATCGAACCCAGGACCATCTGCCTAAGGGTGACACTAGCTACAATGGACTAGGCCCTCCTACATAAATGGTCGATCGAGAAAACGCCCCCACAGTCTTGACACAGGCCAGTGTGGTGGAGACAGTCTCAATTGAAGCTCCCTCCTTCCAGATGACTTTGGCTTATGTCATAAAACTATCCAGCAAACTTTGGATCAGAGCTGTGTCAGGTTTCAGAGGTGTGATCTTTGGGGGTAGGATGGAGGAAACTTTTTCAATTACACAATGACATGTTTTAGGTTTGAGAGACAAGTCTAAACATGGAAATTTTTGTTTGTTTGTTTCCACCATTCTGCACAAGCTGAAGATAATTTGATGTATTTTTGGTGACCCTGCGTTTTGCCATCATATGATGTCAGGTGTGGAATTTTCCACTCATGTCAGGACAGTGCTCTATAAATTTCAGACACCGGAGCATTTCAGGTTGGATTTGAGGACTGAGAAACTCAGTTTTCTGATAATCCTTTCAATGTTCTTAATTTATTTTGCATGTGTGTGCACCATATGTGTTCAAGAATATTTGGATGCTAGAAGACGATTTTAGATCCCCCTGGAACCAGAGTTGCAGGAGGCTGTGAACCACCGTGAGGATTCTGGGAGCCAAACCCGGGTGCTCTAGCCGCTGAGCCATGTCTCCAACCCAGGTTTCTGATAGTCTTAACTCAAGTTGTTGGTTAAGCTAAGTAGAGACAGGTGACATTTCCTAGTTAAAAACAACAGCAACAATTTAGTGTGTTCTAGGAGCTGGTAGGAGTTTTCCTTAGCCAAACAGAAGTTCCGAAGCCACGGAGATAAATCCTGTCTGTGTGAATGGAAGGTCATGGTCAAGGATAAGGGTAGGATCCAGAGGAATGAGCCAGGTGCCCCTGAGTCTTCAATGGCAAGGGCAGAGTGGCCAGAGCTTCCTTAGGTGACCGTGGTGTATGGAAAAGACCTTGCAGAGGCAACGAGGGGTCAGCGGGGAGCATCTCTCCCCTCCAGGTCTGACAGGTGTACTCTGCTGGGGCATGGGCTGTGGTCTCCTTGTCAAGACCCTCACTCCCGTGCGAAGAAAAAGGGGAAGTCCATGGAGTTTGGAAATTAGAAAAAGACGGCGCTGTGGAAGAGAGACGTTAGAGAAGACATGGTCTTGTTAGAAGCAAAGTGTAAACTGTGTTGGGGGTGGAGTGAGAAGAGAAAACTCAGCACTTTTGACACCTGCTGCTCCTGAGGACCTGGGTTCAGTTCCCAGCACTCACATGGGGGCTCACAGCCATCCATAACCCCAAGTCCATGGGCTCCTGTGCCGCCTTCTGGCATCCGCTGGCACCAGGCATGCACACACGTGTAGGCAAAGCACCAACACACGGAAAGTAAAAATTAATGAATCTAAGAAATATGTTTGAAAGAAAATAGTATTGGGTTAAGCATATCGGAGCAGAGAACCTGAGGGCAGTCACCAATAACAGCTTCTTATAAAACTAAACATGATGTACTTACCAAATGAGTGGCACTCTGGGGTATTTTTCCCAAAGAAATGAAAATTTAATGTTCACGTCAAACCTGTAATGATCGTGTGTGGCGGCTGCATTGTACGGCACCAGTCTGGAGACGGCACAGATGTCTTTAGGTGAATGGAGTACTATTCAGCAGTCAACATGGATGAGCTTCAGTCTGTTTTTGTTTTGACATAGCAGTGGAGGATGATCTGCAACTCCTGATCCTCCTGCCTCGGCCTCCCAAGTGCTAGGATTACCCCACCACAGCCAGCTCGATATAGACAATGAATCTACAGAGAATTATGCTGGAGAGAAAGCAAAAAAAAAAAAAAAAAATTATCAGCTTTACGAATGCATTAGTTTAACATTCTCACTCCCTCAATCTGTTTGTTAGACACAGAGTCCCGCTGTGTTTGGAAGGCTGGCCAGCAGTTTTGTTATCCAGACTGGTGTTAGAGACCTCCCTGCCTTGAATTTTCCAGGACTGCAATGCACGCCATCACCAGGCCCTTTCTCCTTTTTTTTTTTTTTTAAGACACAGGGTTTTTCCATGTAGCCCTGGAACTCACTTTGTAGATCAGGCTGACCTCAAACTCCCAGAGATCCATCCGCTTAAGCCTCCCAAGGGCTGGGATTAAAGTCAAGAACTACCCGAAGGCTCTTTTCCTCTTTCCCTTATGAGAGACAGGTCTCCTGTAAATGTATGGGCTTTGACTCCTGGTGTAGTGGAGAGGATGATCTGGAATTCTCTGGAATTCTCAATCCTCCTGCCTTCCCCTAAGTGCAGGGATCACAGGCATAGGCCACTAAGCCCAGTTTATGGTGCTAGGGGCCAAACCTAGGGTTTGCGCGTGCTGGACAGGCAAGTCTGTAAGCTGATGGCCAGCCTGGAACTCAGGTTTCTCCCACCTCAGCATCCCAGGAGCTGGAATTCTAAGAAAAGGCTGAGGCAAGAGGATCAGAGTTCGAAGCCCCCCATGGCAACAGGACCTTAAGTGAAAAGCAACAACCAAACTCTGGGAACCGGGGAGATCTGGATAAGAGCTCCAGATTGCATTAGTTTTTGTCCTCTGGCTGAGACAGCTACCACAGCTGGGCAAGGTGTTGCCTTCCGGGGGACTTGAATAAAGGCTCAAGGGATCTATCTGTGTTGTTTTGTCTTTTGAGACAGGGTGTCACTATGTAGCCATGGCTGTCCTGGAACTGTCTGCATAGATCATGCTGCCTCATCTCACAGAGAGCTGTGTGCGTCTGCTTCCCACGTGTTGAGATTAAAGGGTTCTGTGTCGTTTCTTAAAAGATTATGCTTATGGGTGTCTGTACCTCTGTGCATCTGCACCCATGCATGTGGCATGCACATGTGTGCAAGTTCCAGCAGGCTCCGGAAGCAGGCATCAGCTCCCTGGGAGCTGGAGTTACAGGGAGTTTTCAGTCTCCTGAAGTGGCTCCTGGGAGCCAAACTTGGGTGGTTGGAAGAACAGCAGGCGTTCTTAGCTGAGGCCGGGCCCTTTCGTGGGGTTTGTTTTGTGTATGCGTGGGTTTACTGCGGCAGGCTGCTGCTGGCTTTTGAAGTCAGACCTCGGTGTGCAGCCCTAGCTGACCTTGAACTCGGTTATCCACCTGCCTCTGCTAAGACCAAAGGCGTACGCCACTCCACTGGTCCACTGTGCCCCCACCTCCTTTGTGTTATTTCTGAAAACTAGATGTGAACTTGTCAGGAGAGTGTGTGTAACAAGCCAGTCATAAAAGGACATGGGCACCCGCGTGAAATTCCCATGTACTGGACCGCACACAGAAAAGTGGTTAAGCGGGGACTGCCAGGACTGCACAGAGAAATTCTGTCTCGGAAAACCAGGAGAGGGAGAGACACCTAGGAGATTAATAGAGAATGCCTCCGTCTGTGTTGTGTGAGGCTTGGCTAATGAGGGCTCTGAGGATGGTTTGAGCGGTTGATGGGTGTGGAATTTGTGTAGACGTCAGGGGACGTTGTGCTTGGGCTCTTTCTTTCTCTTCCTTTTTTAGTTTTGGTTTTTCCAGACTGCCTGGTTCTTTCTTTACGCCCCGTCTTGCTACTGTCCCACTGTCACCCTCTGCCCTTTAGCGGGAGTTGCTCTGCCGCTCTGTCCACACGGTGGTGAGCTGAAGCTTGACCTTTTGGTATTGCAGGGGACTCAGGACTCCCTCCCATACCCACATACTCACTCACAGTCACCTGCAACTTCAGTTTCAAGGGATCCCGTGCCCTTTTCCAACAGACCCCAGCAGGCACAAGGCATACACGTGGCGGGTACATATACATATACATACGTGCAGTCACAACACACATGTAGGTCAATAGGAGGAGGAGGAATAAGGGAGAAGAAACGAAACAGCATGGTGCAAGCCATTAATCCCAGCATTGGTGAGGCATTAGCGGGCAGACCTCTGAGTTTGAGGTCAGCCTAATTTACATGGTGACTTCAGTCAGAGCTACTTAGTGCGACCATGCCTCGAGAAAGGAAGAAAGAAATGTTTGTATGTGTTTTGTCTTTTAATCCCAGTACTCAGGGAGCAGTAAGGCAGGGGGATCTTGAGTGGACCAGCTAGGGCCGTAGCAAGATGCTGTCTCAAGATGAAAGTATTGTGGGTGGGAAATGCATGCCAGGGCAGCGGCTGGCCTTGCAGAGGAGCAGGAGGGGCCAGGAGGCGTTGCCGGCATTGCATTTTGCAGTAGAAAGCATGCACACTCCCCACACAGGAAATGAACACAGTTGTTTGTGCCGTGTGCACAGGCACCAAAGGCTTCCTTCTCGCGATTGAGAAGATAGGTAGCTTGCAAGATCTTGGGGATAGGAGCTGGGGAGACGGCTCAGTTGCTAAGAGCACTTGTGGCTATTCTAGAAAGCCTGAATTAAGTTCTCAGTACCCATGCCCAATGGCTCCACAGGCTCCCTAAACATAACACTTAACACATGCACACATGTGTTTCTTAATAAGTCCAATCCAGGAACAGATACTCTTTCTTTATTGTTTAATTTTTACATTCCAATCCCAGTTCCCCCTCCTCTCCTCCTGCTCACCCCAGTTTTCCTCCTTCCCCACCTCCCATCTGCTCCACGGAGAAGGTTAGGCCTCCCCTAGGAGTCTAAGTCTGTCCCATCATCTCACTGAGGCAGGACTAAGGCCCCTCTCCACCCCTACACCCCTGTGACTAGGCTGGGCAAGGTGTCTCTCCATACAGAATGGGCTCCACTAAGTCAGTCTGTCATTGGAGTTAGATCTTGGACCCACTGCCAGTGGCCTCATATATTGTCCCAGTCACACCATTGTCACCTATATTAAGGGAGTCTAGTTCAGTCTTATGCAGGTTCCCATTTGTCAGACCTGAGTCAGGGGTCTCTCATTAGCCCGGGTCAGCTGATTCTGTGGGTTTCCCCATCACGGTCTTGACTCCTTTGTTCTATTATCTCTCCTCCCTCACTTAGATTGTACTCCGGGAGCTTGGCCCATTGGTGAGCTGTGGATTTCTGCATCTGCTTCCATCTATTTCTGGAAGAGGGTTCAAGCTTCTCTGGGGTTACAGATGTAGGCTGAGTATCTTTTGCTTTACGTCTGGTATCCACTTATGAGTGAGTGCATACTATATTTGTCTTTCTGGTTTTGAGTTACCTCAGTCAGGATGATTTTTTCTAGTTCTGTCCACTTGCCTGTGAATTTTAGGATGTCATTGTTTCTTATGGCTGAGTAGTACTCCTTTGTGTAAACATATCACATTTTCTTTATCCATTCTTCTGTTGAGTGACATCTAGGCTGTTCCCAAGTTCTGTCTATTATGGATAATGTTTCTATGAACATAGCTGTGTAAATGTCCTTGTGGTGTGAATGTGCCTCCTTTGGGTACATGCCCAACAGTGGTATTGCAGGGTCTTGAGGTAGATTGACTCCTTATTTCCTGAGAAATCGCCATACTGATTTCCACAGCAGCTGTACAATGGAAGAGCGAGGAACAGATATTCTAATGGATAAAGACAAACAACAAATTAATAAGACACTTTTTGGGACTGGAGAGATGGGTCAGCAGGTAAGGGCACTAGCTGCTCTTAGAGAGGACCCTGGTTCAATTCCCAGTACCCACATGGTGGCTGTCAACCATCAGTCCAGTTCCAGGGGCTCCAACAGGCACACATGCATGTGGATAAAACACTCATACACATAAAACCTCACGAGACATTTTTCAGAAAGTGTGATCTTGGTATGAGGAAACTGTCAGGTATGATAAGTTCACTTCTTGTTTTTGTTTTTTCTATATGTTCATATCTTAATTATGGCATTTTCAGCAGCATATACTTGTGCCCAAATGTGGCAGACCGTTCACTCTAAATATGTACAAGTTGTGCATCAGTGACTCCTCAGTGAAGCTCTCTTTTAAAAATAAGATAAGCCGGCAGTGGTGGTGCACACCTTTAATCCCAGCACTCAGGAGGCAGTAGCCAGAGGATCTCAAAGAATCTGAGGTCAGCCTGGTCAACAAAGTGAGTTTCAGAACAGAAAAAAGCCAAAACAATATTTTAAAAAAAAAAAAAAAAAAAAAAAAACATGCTAAGCAGTATGTAATTCATTCAAACTGTGGTCAGAGACTTTCTAGGATTATGTTTGAACTGAATACCAACAAGGGGCCACCCACACCAAGTGTGCAGGCAGAACCATCATCTTATTGCTTGTTGAGGAAGCAGGGCAGCCCATGTGGCTGATACACATTGAAGCTAGTGGGAAGCTAGCTCAGGCCTTGCCCTGGACTCCACGGACAGTGAAGCAGGGAAGCCAGCTGCTTAAGTGCCCCGTCCGTATCTCTTAAGGCTCAGAGCAAACCCTCTGGTTCCCTTTCGCTTCAGGACGTGATGCTGAGCTTGGTTGGTCGCACACGAAGAGGAGTACACTCACTGGCCTCACAGTGAAATCATCTCAGGGCCAGGTCCATACAAGCCCAAACCCTGCGCGTTAGAGAGGAGAATGTGACGTTCTGGGCCATTGTGGCCCTTCTGTCTCCTGTGTGTGTGTGGAGGTGGCGAGAGGGAGGAGGGGGGGTCGAGTATTGGCCACCGAAGAGGCCCTCATACATGCTTTGGCCAACAACTGGGAAAGCATCACCGGAAGGGAATGAAGGCACGAGCCAAGGGACAGCTCTGTAAGAAGAAGCTATTGACCAGTGCTGTGTGGTTTGTACCCATGTAACCGAATCAGTAAAGACTGGAAAGTAGAAAACTCCAAACAATAACCGGGGCCAGTCAGGTGCGGCGTCAGCGCGCCTTTAACCCCAGCACCGAGGAGGCAGAGACAGGCAGGCATCTGTGAATTAAAGATCACTGAAGGTATGGAAGGAAGACAGTGTCTCAGAATAATACTGACAGTAGTAATAGTGACAGTCAAGGCAGGCACCAACCGGAAAAGATCACTGAAGGTATGGAAGGAAGACAGTGTCTCAGAATAATACTGACAGTAGTAATAGTGACAGTCAAGGCAGGCACCAACCGGAAGAGCGGCCGGCATCCTAGGGCGTGACCTAATGTGATGACCGCTGTCTTTATTTTCTCCCTTTCCGGAAAGCTGCTGGGCATCGAGGCCGAGTGTAGGTAGAGTGGGAGTGGAGATGTGACCGGTTCGGCTTTTACACCCCTTGTGCTCTCTCCCACTGCAGCTCTTCCTCCCCTCCATGAGGAAGAAGCCGGCTCTGGCCGATGGCAGCGACCCGGACGGCGAGCTCCTCCAGGAACACTGGCTGGTTAATGACATGTTCACCTTTGAGAATGTGGGCTTCACCAAGGACGTGGGCAACATCAAGTTTCTGGTCTGCGCAGACTGTGAGGTTGGACCCATTGGCTGGCACTGCCTAGACGACAAGAACAGTTTCTATGTGGCCTTGGAACGAGTGTCCCACGAGTAGCGGAGGGGGCCCTGCTGTAAAGCTACGCAGCTCTCCCCACAGAACCAACAGGAGCCTGTTGTGGCCGCTGCGCTGGCAGGCTCCTCCACGCCAGGACAAATGATAAGCACCCGAGTTTGCCCTGGGACTTGCAGAGAGTGGCCCTACTCCCCTCAAGCCTCAGTGCGTGCCTCCCACCTCGTGCTCTGTGCATCTCAACTGCCCTGACCCCACCCCCGTTTTGGAACGTGGAAGAACACGGAAGTACTCTCCGAGTGTAGTCTGGTCCTTGGCACTCCCCCTGGACAGCTCCCCGGGCTGCTGCTCTTGTCCAGCAGGAGTCAACAGGGGAGGAAATGCTCACTTGCTAATAGTTGAAACTTCACCTTTTTCTCGTTCAAGAAGCCAGGTGGAAGCAGGAAGATCAGGAGTTCAAGGCCAGCCTCAGCTCCATAAGGAATTCTAAGCCAGCCTGGGCTACGTGAGACATCTCAAGAAACATAAAGCGTACAAGAGTTTGAGAGTGACTTCATAGTTTGTGGCCTACTTGTCTACAGCAGTGTATTCTTTTTCAAAGCAAAACATTTACAAACGTCAGTATTGAAACCACTAATCAGAAGCACATTCCTTTAGACACATTTCCAGTGCTGTGTTTGAGACCCTTGGTTCCGGTTTGATAGTGACACTCGATAGTGACGATGTGTGTGGCTCCTTCCTGAAGATCTCCATTAGGTTTCTCTTTTTCTTAGTGCCCCCCCCCCCCCCCGTTAGTCTGCATTGTTAACCCCAAGGGAAACTCAGCCCTAACTGTTCATCACACTGTGTTGGAGTCAGGGTGGAGGGAGGGTATAGGATATACAAGCTTAGCCTAATCACACCGGTTTACTAGAACGATTTCTTTAATGGGTGCTGTCACCCTTCATTAAACATAGTTTGTAAGGTCCTCGGGATTTTGGTTCCCTTGGACTGCAGATGCTTTCTACCGAGATCTCCATTGTTAGGGGTTGGTCCCACCATCTCTTACTAGCCAACTTAAGCCTTCAACGTGGCTGCCACTTACTTTGTCATTCTCTTCTGAAGTGACTCAGTAGCTTAAAAGGACCCTGTATAAAACAGTGCAAATATTTTTGCCACCCTCCCTTCCTCGGGAGGCCTAAAACTGAAATGCGGACTAAGTAGAGACCCTGTTCTTTATTACACCAGCAACTTGGGAGGCGGAGGCAGGTCAAGGTCAGCCTCAGTTACATATCACATTCATACTACGTGAGAGCTTGTCTCCAACAAACAAAAAACAAGTAGGAGTTGGGAAGGTGGCTCAGCAGTTAGGAGTGTTTGCTGCTCTTTGGGAGCACCTGAGTCCAGTGCCCATAAGGCCCGGCCCAGGGGATCTGCACTGTGACATCCCCGGTTGCTTGCACATGGATGATGTGCAGACGACAAGCACGCACACACGTAAAAAGTATATGAAATTTTTATAACTTAACAAAATGTCCAGCTGGGTGGCGTAAACCTTTGATCCCAGCACTGGGGAGGCACAGGCCAGCCGATCTCCGTGAGTTCAAGGCCAGCCCAGTCTACAGAGGGAGTTCCAGGACTGCCTGGGCTGCACAGAGATACTCCCTCTGCATCTTCTTTCCTCACTGAAGTTCTCTAAGGGTTCCCTCTTGAAGTACAGGACCGGGCACAGTTTCTCCAGCCCTCTGCTCCAACGGCAAAGGGGAGGCCATGTTTTCCAAGCAAGCAAGCAAGCAAGCACACCTGAGTGTGGTCTTTGCAGGTAAACAGCTGAAACTGACCTGCCCGGGTCAGAAGGAACAAGACAAACATACATCTAGGGACACACGGCCCCTCACTTCACAAGCCACAGACCTAAACTGAATTAGGCTCTTAACCCTTCTTAAACCGCAGAAACAATACATTTGTTGTGTATCAATATAAAAATCAGTATAAAGTTCTAATTAACTCACACTTTCATTGGGCAGAGCTTGCCAGTGGTAATGTGTGTACCCTCAGTACCTTTCTGTGTGCAAACATGTAGCTTTCTAAACAAAAATGAGGTCTTATTTTTCGTTTAACAAAACGGGGAACATCTTCCTTGTCAGTAGACACCGGGCCGTGAGCAACACCAACACTCCATTGTGTTGCTGGGCTTTAGTCATCCAGTTGTGTTGCCTACAGATGCTCATAGCACTGACATCGCACACACGGGTGTTAACTGTGTCCCATCCTTACTCCGTTTGCACCACAAGAGGCAAGGTTGGGCTTGTCAGAGCTTTGCCAAATGGACACATTCTTCAAAGCCGTCTGTCCATCTACTTTCCCTTCCTCGATGTAAACGAGCATCGGGTTTCTGCTCCCTTACTAACACTGGCTGCTTTTTATCATTAAGAAACACTTGCCACTTCAAAGCATCTCATTTGAACTTATTTCTGATTTAAAAAAAAAAAAAAAAGTATGAATGAAAGAAACCCGGCCCCATTCTTATTTCTGTTTGTTTTGAACTGTGTAGACCAAACCGGCCTCAAACTTAACTTGTTTCCTCTTTCTAGAACTGCCAAATGTTGTTGACCCAGTGACCAAAATAAAGTCATGTAAGCAGTGAAGCAGTTCCTGTCTGTCTCTGTCGGAGTACATAACTTGTGATAAGCAGATGGGAGCTGGGACCTGAGCAGAGGTGGTCAGCTGCTGGGACCTGAGCAGAGGTGGTCAGCTCGAGGCCTGGCCACCGGCTGGCTCATCCGTTAAGGTGCCCTATAAAACAGTGTCACCTCTCTGTTCCCTTAAAGGCCCTCAGGTAACGCTTGCAATCCAGCTGGTCCTTGCATGAGGAGGACAGAGGTAGCCAGTGTTGCTGATGTGAATATAGCTTCTCTTAAAGAGTGCTCGTCGGAGAAGACTGCTCAGACATGGCTTTAAGCCATAGGAAGTCTCTATTAGCTGACTGGTCAGGTTCCCGGGGCAGCACTGAGCCTTCTTCCGGGTGAGCTTTTAAATAAAAAGAAAAGGCCTGGGTTGACATACTTTAGTAAAGAGCAGTTAGCCAGGGGGCTGGAGAGACGGCTCAGCAGTTGAGAGCACTGGCTGCTCTTCCAGGGGGCCCAGGTTCAGTTCCCAGCTCCCACATGGCAGCTCACAACGGCCTGTAACTCCAGGTACACCCTCACACATATAAGCAGGCAAAACACCAGCACACATATAGTAACGTTGTACAAAATAAAAACAAGAAGCAGCCAGAAGCGGAACTGCAGAAGTCAAAAAGCAAAGTCTGTGCATTTAGAGACTTGCACATAGCTATGACTGATGGATTGGGTCTTTGTTTTAGTTTTGGCAGGTGGTGCTGCCTACATATTGATTTTAAAGCCTGAGTGGTGCTTCTACCATGGAGTCCGTTGTACTAAGGTCTGGGATCCTGCTAAGTAAGGCCTGGAGCCCCATTACAACACCCTGCAATCAGGCTGGGTCCTTGGTAAGGAAGGCATCTGTGTGCCAGTCTGGCTGAAACACCCAGCAAGTCAACAAGAAAATCCCTTCCGTTCATACTGTCAGTGCAACTGACTTTGCCAGGGCCTGTTTACTCCTACAAAATTGCCGTTTGAAAACAGCGAATCAGGTTGGAAAGATGGCTTAGCAGTTAAGATCGCTTGCTGCTGTTGCAGAGGACTTATGTCCAGTTCACGGCAACCATATGGTGGCAGCTCACAACTCCAGTTCCACAACTCCAGTTCCAGAGGAACTGACACCCTCCCCTGGCCTCTCCCAGGACCGGGCATAGACATACATGCAGACAAAAATCTCATATCCATAAATTAAAAACAAAAAACAACCTCAGAATCAGCTGGGCATGGTGGCACACACCCTTAAGCCCAGCAGCACCTGGGAGGCAGAGGCCCACCTGGTCCACATAACAAGCGCCAGGCCAACTAGGTCTACACAGTAAATCCCTGCCTTTTTTTTCCCTCCTTTTTTTTTTTTTTTTGATAATTTGTTTTTATTTAAATTTGAAACAAGCTTGTTTTACATGCCAATCCCAGTTCCCTCTCCCTCCCCTGTCTTTTTTTTTTTTTTAAGATTTATTTATGTATACAGTATTCTGCCTGCATGTGTCCCTGCAGGCCAGAAGAGGGCGCCAGATCTCATTATAGATGCTTGTGAGTCACCATGTGGTTGCTGGGAATTGAACTCAGGACCTCTGGAAGAACAGCCAGTGCTCTTAACCTCTGAGCCATCTCTCCAGACCCCATAAATCCCTGTCTTTAAATGAATAAATAAACAAATAAATAAAGTTATCCTAGAAAGCTTATCCTGTAAAAAGGGTGCTTCTCAAAGACTGAGAAATCAGGCCTTTCTCATCTAGTCTGAATAAGATGGTAGGAAAAGGAAGTTGACTCATATAGGCACCATCTTCAGCTGCGCTGAGCTGTCTGCATTTGTAATTCACTCTGGGGAAAGCTTGGGCTGTCTTGGCCCCAGTTCAGAATGAGCAGCAAAGCAAGGTGCTCATTATTTACTTTGACCCAACCCCCCCCCCCGTTCCCCCCCCCACTTCTCCCCCAGGACTGATCTTCTGCAGGATAACGTGTAGGAGTTAGTTATCACTTTCCATCGAGTGAGTGAGTCTTAGGGATCAAACTCGGGTCAGCAGGCTTAGTGGCAAACGCCTTTATCCTGAGCCATCTTGATGGCCATATGTTGACACTTTACTACTCACTGGACAAGATATTCTCGTTCCTCTAAAGTCTGCCCGTCTTCTTCGGCCCCTCCCTTACCCAAATTGATGGCGGCTATCATTTTAATTCATAGTGTTAGTGGTATTTTACAGCTGTGTGGTAAAGGACAGGAGGATACATATAACTAAAGGGTACCAATAGGCTTATCAGGGTACCTTAAATGTCTTAAATTCAAGCTGACCTTTGAATTCTGGTAAGTTGAAGCATTTTGGAATCCCTTGACTTCCTGAGGAATCGTGTGGAAGCAGTGTTTGCGACGGCACAGGAGCATAGCTAGCCACAGCCATAGAGGCCAGGCAGTGGTGGTGCACACCTTCAATC